ATAACTATAAAAATATGAAGCTCCTACCCATAATTATTTTACCGTGCAATTATGCGGTTACAAATACCAAACACTTACCACTCAGCGAGCCGTTCTGAAATACAAGAGGAAGGCCTACCGCATGTAGTACCGCTCGCGGATGATCGATATCTCCTCTGTTTAACTTGGTAAAATAGGACTAGGTGGACGCGACTTGAGGTAACAATTAGGGGAGTTCTTTAAGAGGATCATTCGGATAATCCTTGCACGCAACGGGCAGTACGTCCGGTGTGAGATATAAATTTTCGATTATGTAGACGTGTATATGTTTGAATTTGGCACTAGAACATTAGGTAATCTATTGATCCGAATGAAATATACACACGTAGACACGCGCGCGCTCACACACACACACGCACGCACGCACGCGCACGCATGCAGATATGGGCTTGGGAAAGGGTTAAAGAATTCTGTGTACATGGTAAAAAAATTCTTATAGGCTATTCATTCGCCTTCGCTCACAATGGCGATATAAGAACGCCACGTCCGTGCATTCATTCGTTTCGTAGACTTTCGAGTACTGTCGTCGGCATTAATAAACATAAGCGTTAAACCGAAGGATGATCGGATATGGATATGCGCAGCTGAACGGATAGACGGATTAAACCAACGCCAACGTTCAACGTTGCATGAAGAGCTTCGAGGAACCCGGCGATACGAGAGAGAAATAGAGAGAGAGAAAGAGAGAGAGAGAGAGAGAGAATCCTTTTCCCTCGGGATTTTGAAGATCTTGAAGATCGATTAATATTGGCGAATTAAACGACATCAAGGCGACATTGCTGATCGTTTACGCGGCTAACGTTCATAGGGAGAGATCTCTTTTCTCTCGCATTGTGATCAAAGATCAAGAACGTCTGGTGCGAGGCGCAGAGGCGTCGCGCCGCAACGCGCGCGAATCTTCGTGCACGCGCGACACGGTTACCGCCGTGGTAATTTTTTTTCACCGTATGTAGTCGCTATATGTAGTCGCTGACTCCCCGTCGTCTCCGGTGACGATTTCTCGCCTCGAGGAACGCGCTGACCCCTAACTTCTCAGTATCTAACACCAGAGACGGTGTGTTATTCGCTACGTTCGTTGATAATGCTCCTCTTCTTCGCGCGCAACCTCTCCCGACGTGGCGCGGCGCGGCGCGGCGCGGCGGCGCGGACGAGCGCGTTTTCATTAGCGTCCACTAATATATCTCCGTCCCGCTAATTAATCGACCGCCGCGAGATTTCGAGGACCGCGAGAGGCACGCCCGCGAGAACGTGTTTCTCGCCCGCGAACACGTCGACCGATTTCATCGCTGATCTCAACGAGTAAATTCTATTTATCGCGCCAGCGAGTTACATTACGCGAATCGGCGCGAATGAAATATCCATGATCGGGGCATCACTTGACACAGGATATTCGACAATGCGAGGGTCATGCGAGTCGAAACCGGAAATAGTAACCTGCGGTTCTCATTCCGAGCGAGTCGAAACGAAACCGCTTGCCTTCCCGGCGGCACCGCAGCGATCGCCGTCACCGAATCGGCGACCGATATCGTTTCTATATTTTTCTCCTTTGTCCCACTCGAAATATCTCGGAGACTTTAGGGCGCGACGTAATCATAATCGTGTAACTGGAGAACGGGTGCTTTTATATACCGTGCGGGAGACTCGAGATCACGTGCGTCCCGCTCCGGGCTCCAAATTCATCTCTCGACTCACAATCGATCCGCAAGAGCAAACGATCAGCAGAATGCAAACGAACCTGGATGCGGCGGCTCGCCCGATGAAACAGCTGAAGAATTGATATTACTTGCCGGGAATTTTTTTTTTTATATATATATATATGTTGAACCCTGAACCGTGCGCCGCGAACATCGCGCCGCGCCGCGGTGCCCGACATCGCGTGCGCGGGCTCTCGCGTGTGCGCGGCCGCGTGCGTGTGCGTGCGTGTGCATGTGCGCGACGTCGCGTCGCGGCCACTCGGTTACGTCACGTGGCATCGTGGACATTATTATGTTCCTACTGACGCAGGTACAATATGCCTGCCACGCTATTAGAGCAGGCTGCGTTAACTTGAAACCCCTCCGCGCAAGCGGAGTGTGTGTTTCATAACGTCGCGCGCGCGAGAAAGAGAGAGAGAGAGAGAGGAAAAGAGGAGGAGGAGGAGGGGAGGAGAGACCTAGAAATATCTGTAAGCGATATATCCCTTATTATCAGCAAAAAAAAAAAAGAAATGAAAAACGCGTGAAGTGGCGCGGAGTCGCCTCGTATGTACATACACGCGACGAGATGTCACGATCTCGCGTCCATGCTACCTCTCCGTAAGAAGAAGAAAAACGACTTCGAGGAAGAAAAATGTCTTCGCTCGCAATCGCGAACGTGGCGATGCGTTCAGTTTAAGCTCTCTGTCGCCTGTTATATATCCCGATCATATATGTATTCTATATATATATATATATATATATATAATCTCTAATTTCATTTAATCGTATTAGGCGATAAGATGGAGCGATACTCGCGTATTCTCGCCCATAGCTGATCTGCTTGAAAAATTTACTCGAACTAACACACACAAACACACACACACACACACACACTCTCTCTCTTGTGCCTCCATCGTTCGGTTTGTCGTGCAAAAAGATTATCGAAAACGGACGATTCGAGCGCGAGCGCAGCCGCGCGCGTCCCAGTTGGAAAGAGAGCACGTGTCCCGGCGCGTTATGTCTATAGCACCGTAATAGCGATTTCATTATCGGTCCGTATGGGCATGTAGAGCAACATCTGCACGCCGGAATCGGCGTTGGAGCGCGCGCGAGCTCTATTAGAAATTCGTTCCTCCTAGTCGACCCGTTTCTTTTGTTTCCTCCTCCCCCTTCTCCTCTTTTTTTTCCCCCTTGGATTTTTGCAGCTAAATTCGCTACGCACGACGCGACGGCGCCGAATACACCTCGCGTTCCTGGTTTTTCATTCGCGAGATTACGATAACTCGGGCGCGTTTACATTGCGATTGATAGTAACTTCCTTTCCCACGCTTAGTATCAGGATTGCGTTATCTGCGCGCGCGATGCGCGCGGCGGCGCGTCGACGGAACACGCGCGCGCGCGCGCGCTCGCGGAACGTCGTTCCGACGGTGTAAACCGTGTAATGCCGTGTGAATATCGGATACGCGTAACGTTGAAAAAGGGAGAAATATTTGCAAAGGTAAAAAAAAGGCTAAAAAAATCATGTTTTGGCGCGCGGATAATGAGCGATCGGAAAATTGCTCGAAAAATCGCTTTTTTTACGCAAAAATCGCCGGCGCGTATACGTTGGTTCGGCCCCCTCCTCTCCTTTTTTTTCCCCCTTCGTTCCGCGACGCGGTGATCGCTGCACGCCCGTCCTGAAATAACAAATTCCATCCATTGAATTATTCAGCTTTATGGCTTTGCTTATCATTTGCACACAAAACGTATGAACATTTTTACGTCGGTTTCATATAATAGCTCGAGTTGAGCCCGACGTCGTAATTACTTACCGGTCGTTCGCGGACGGTTTTTGCAACGCTCGTCGGCATCATCGACAGCGATATGCCGGTGAGAATAAAACTGGCGTAATTGTATATTCCATTCTTGCGATCGCGTGGATTTTACATAAATTGTCGCAACGTCGTCATCGTCGTTGAGCGTCAGTATCGTGTGACGTCGGACGACACGTCCCGTCGCCGTCGTCTCGGCGCTCTTAACATACCGAAATGTGTAAAGCGAATAAAAAGAAAAAGGCCGTTACGGAGGAAAGGTGGAGACTCTTGTCGTGAGACTCGTGAGCACTGTATATATGCAATTCAAACGACGCATTATTCCTTGACCTGACCCAACGAAACCTGCTTTCATATTCATTAGTATCGTCCCACTTCAGACCCGCGCCGCGCTTTGGACCACGAAACGCAACCGTGTATCTCTCCGATGCAACGCACGGAATCGATTTGTGTGGAAGATATGCCGGAGGAAGAAAAATAACTCCCACACAACCGGAGGAGCTAAATATATAACGGATTGTTAAATATGCTCCTCTCGAGGCTCGTTAGAGCCTGAGATTGTTAAATAAATAATCCTCGATAATGCAGTTGGTGTACACACTTTCCAAACAGCTAGCGTAGTTTTTTTCCTTTTCCACAGCCGAGTACACGTTCGACTGGGGGAAGAAGACGGGAAAAATCGTGTCGCTGCGAGCGATTGAAAAATACCTGGATCTCTGTAGAAGAAGCGATACAATAAATATATATACATTGTATCGCTAATCACGCGATATCGGACGCGCGGTAATCCCGTCCGAAGTCGCATCTTCCGCTTTCCCTCTCATCGAGAACTTCCTCTTCGACCGCGTTCGCTCACTCCTCTGTTCCTTTTTCCTCATTTCTCTTTCCTCGATCCGCGTTGAGGATGAGGCGCGCCAGATGAATGTTTTATCGTACGCGTAAAATCGTCGCGGGGCACAATGCTATTCCCCCTCCCCCCCCCCCGGTGTCGCGCAGGGCCGTATGCATAACGGCCTGTGTATTAGCCGTCATTAGCATTTCGACGACGTTGTATCGTTCACCTCGAGAAAAGATTTCCGTAACGGTTACGCATCTGCGTAGGAATGGGAGACGTCGCTGATCCTCGTGCGTCTCCCCGTTTTCAAAGAGCCGTGTCCGTTTCGAAGACAAACGCGAGAGGCTTCTGCCGTAGGAATCTAATTGTCCCGACTTCCTCCTATTATTGGGGCCGCCCTCTCCCCCTTTCCCCTCCCCCTTCTCCACCGCAAAGATGTATTCTGGCTGTATATATAGATCCTGCTAAGATAGATCCAGCTTGGATGTAAATTAGGTACAAATTGACTTTCAAAATTTATCCAAATCGGAAAGGGGGGGAAAAAGACTCGCTTTTGACGGCTGGAATTTCACAGCTAGGGGATTAAAACGCGAACGACGACTCGACGCGCGTAATCCGTAATCCTGTCTCTTGTTGCAGAGGGACGCGAGTCACACCGATGAGGCCGAGGGGATCTTCTGGGATCCGTCGTGCGTCGACAATCGCAACGCGAGGAATCAGAATCATGTGCGCCAGCTACAGGAGCAGTTGGCGCAAGCCACCGTGAAAGTGCGCGAATTGGAATGCGAGCTGAAGCACGTTCAGAAGGTAATAATTGTTAACAGCAGAGTCTTCCTTCCCTCCCTCCCTCCCTCCCCCCCCCACTCCCTCTTTCCCTTCCCCTTCCGCCTTGATAATGCAATGTTGTAAGTTGGTGGAAATAATTAATATACCCAGGTGAACAACGCGTCCTTCAAGGACGACATATCCGACGGGCATCAGAAGGCTGAGGTCGTGCGGGCGAAACAGGACATGCTGAACCGCATAATACAAATGGAAGAAAAGGTACGGATGAGCGATGTATCAATTATGTATTTTTGACATCGTCTCTTTCTGTCACGATTCTAAATTTTAAATGAGATAACTCAACAAAGTCGCAATGGAAAGGGAGGGTCAAAGAGGAAAGTCTTGCGCATTTAAGAAATAGAAAGCCATGTAAAATGTAAAGTTATACAATCAAAGAAAGAAAAAAAAATACGCTTTTCCGGGAGAATTAGATTCATGTTTCAGACATGCGGGAAGGAATAGTTAATCAGGTGAAAACAAATTTTTAAAAATTAATGTCTATTATATCGCTACGAGTAAGAAAATTTGTTCTCTGCACTCAATCTTTGTAAAATTTCTTTGTTAGTTGCATTAGATTTTTTTTTATTATCTCTTGAATAATAAATGATCTCTATAATTTATGAAAAATGGTTTTAAAATGTCGCGTTAACATAATTAAAATTCTATTGAATTAGATTAATTTTTAACGATATTCAATATCGACATTTTGCGTTTTCTTAGACTCGAGAAGCGGAGCGGAACGCTAAACATGTCCAATTGGACGAAGCAAGTCTCATCAACGATTTCCGTTCGGTAATATCGAAATTGAATTCCCGCGAGAAGTTTGATTTAGTCAGCGGGGCGCTGAGGGCTTTGCAAATCGAAAACGAGACGCATGAAAAAATTAAGGATCATGAAAAATCCAACGAGGAGCTCGAGAAAGTCGGTGGCTACGAATATAATTCTTTAGCTCTCAAGCACACGGATTCGCAGCAGAGCAAGCCGCACGATACGGCCGAGGGACTTTCGATCAGCAAGGAAGAGGTGTTGCAAAAGAGAATAGAGGAACTCCAAAATGAAAATAAAGATCTTTTGAACGCTATGGAAAAATTGGACGAGGAACACACGCAGTCGATTGGTAAGTAAACAGGAGCTTTATACATCAATAATTGCTATTTTTCGCTTAACAATCTTGCAGTTGTCGAAAAAAACTGTATACGTGTAGTGACATAAATTCCGATTTTTGCGCAGAAAAACTGTTGTCGCTCAAAGAGGAAAGTAATAAGAAGCATCGATCTCTACAAAACGCGTACGAACAACTTTCCGCGGAGTACAAGGCCCAGAAAAAAGTAATTGAATTGCAAAACGATATGTTGAAACGCAATGAAAATACCTGTGCAGAAACGACTCATCAGTTTGTTCAGACGGATAATGCGGATAAATCGGACAAGCACATTCAAATGACAGTTTCTTCGCAAGTGGCCGACGTGGTTTCGGAAACAAGCGTTTTAGATGACATCGCTGAGAGGGTTAAAATTATTTTAAAGAACTGTACCATAAGTAGCGTCGGAGCGGGGGAATCGATCTTCGAAGCTGTCGCGAAACAGTACGTCGACGCTAAGTGGAAGCTGGACGTCTTGGAAAGGAAGATAACTGAGATTACTCGAGATTTTAAGGAGACCGAGGAGATGAAGGATGGCCTGCAAATGGAGTGCGAGGAGCTGCAGTCGCACATCGATTCGTTGCTGCTGGAGAAAAATATGAGAATGAAGCCGTGCCAGGGCTTAGATTTGAATTTGCCGTCTATACCTGAGACGAGCGAGGAACGAGTGGCCTCTCTGGAAATGGACGTCGAATCTTTGCGGGAGGAAGTGAAACGCCTCGCGGTTGAGAACAAAAGGATACGAGAAACAAATTCAAACTTGATGCATGCTGTACAAAGTAACGAAGTGCCTTTAATAAACAACGATGATTCACAGCGAGATATAAATCGCAAACTATGTACATTTGTGGAGGAAAACGAAGAACTTCCAGTGAAAAAGAGTGAAAGCTCGAACGACGACGTAACGACGATCGAGCAATTGAAACTCGATTGTGAAAACGTGAAAGGAGAATTGAAGCTGTCGGCATCCAAAACGAAGTTGTTAGAAACTGATCTTGCATCCTTACAGGACACTGTAAATAAATTTGCGGAAGAGAATGAAGATTTATTATGGAAGAATAAACACCTGGATATGCAATTACATGACAAGGCTTTGCAAGAACGTGATCTACGGGAAGAAAATGGCTATCTGTTGGAAGACATGCGGGAACGGCTCGACATGGCCAATCGCGAGAAATTAGATTTGGAAATTGATGTTTTACGTAAGAAGGAAGAATCGGACGCGATGCAGATTCAGCTTGACACGAGACAATGTGAAGTAGCAAAATTGAGCCAGGATAATGATAGATTAATTAAAGAAAATATATCTCTGTCGGAGCAATTAACTGCTACGCACGATGAATCCTTGGATAAAATCGAGCTGTTGAACACGGAAATGTCGTTGCTTCAGCAGGAACATGAAGATTTGAGGCAGGAGCTATCGATTCATAAAGAGGAATTGCCCATACTGAAGGAAAAGTTGTACAAGGCGCAGCAACATTACGCAGAACTGGAAAACGAATATCATGCGTTAAAGATGCAAAGCGAGCAATTCGCATTACATAAGAAAGATATTCAAAGTCAAGCGACAGAAATAGAACAGGTCGGAAGTGAGTCGGGTGTTAAAGAGCCGTTTACAGAAGAGCTGAGCTCGCTGAGAGACAGATGTAAGCTCTTGGAGCGAGAGATAGAAATGCTTCGCGCTAAAGAGGCGCAGGAATTTCAAAAAAATGCCACGGAGATATCTTCGGCAAACATGGACAAAACTAATAAAGAGGGAGAACTTTCAACTGCTGAAGATAACTTAATCAGAATGGAAAACACAGTTACGGACGTGAAAGTAGGAAAGCGTGATTTAACATTAAGAGACCCGGATGTAACGTCTAACGTACGGCAAATGTTAGAATCGATTGTCGATGAAGAAAGACGTGAAGAGGATTTGGTAAAAGCGCGTAACGAAAGCTTAGTGGACGAGATTAATGATTTGCGCAACAAGTTGCAAGTCGCTTTCGAGAATAGCGAGGAATCGGCAGAGATGGCTAAACAAACTATCGAAGGTCTGTCTCACATTATTCGAGAAAAGGATCAGGAGATAAGTATTTTACAAGCCGAGATAACCCGCGCGAGCAGCACTATCGCGCAATCGTCGTACGATCTTGCCGCGATTAAACAACAGAAAAGCGAGATCGAACAACTTGTTTCGGTCAAACACAACGAGAGCTTGCAGTGTCAAAACGAGATCCAAAAGCTGATCCAACGGGTGAATGAACAAGCGGCTCACATCCAGGAATTGATTGCCGAGCGAACGGCGCAACAAGAGATGCTCAATAAGGCGAACGCGGTGGATCAGCGTGGAGGCCACGATGGAGCCGACCACTCGAGACAGAGCGCCGAAATCGTGGCTCTGAATAAAAAATGCGACGCCCTGGAGGCTGCCCTGATGCAGGAGCAGTCCAACACTAGAATCCTGCAGAATCAGCTCGTCGAGGTTCAAAACAAGGAAGCTAACTCCGCTAAAGAATTGGAAAGGCTGCGTACGCACTTGGTCGAGATCGAATCGAGCTATACGGAGGAGGCCCTGATCGCCGAGAACAATCGTCAGGAGTTGGAAGCGAGATTGCTGCAAGCTGAGGAAAAAGTGAAAAGCAGCTCAACCGCCTTCACGTCGGCGAGTGTCAGGGCTAATCAGCAGGTGGAAACGTTGCAGCAGCAAATAGCTCTGATTACTCAACAGAGGGATCAGATACAGGCAAAATTGTCCGCAGCAGAGGATAATATTCAGTTGCAGTCTGCCTCTTTGACTAATTTGCAAATAGTTCTGGAGCAATTTCAACAAGGTGAGCCATATTATTATTACAATGTATTACACCAGCAATGCTTTCTCTTCATCATATTCTTTTCTATCATGTATTCTCTTCTATCTTATATTGTAATAATTGTACATCATATCTATAGCATAGTTATCTCGAATATGATATATTGACGGCATGCCATGCTTACAGATAAAGAACGCGACGTCATGGCGGTTACAGAAAGACTTCGATCTCAACTCGCTGAGTCATATGAGAAACAAGATAAATTATTAGATGACATTTCGAATCTTCAGGTTTGCCTTTATATCTTTCCCATGCATTCACATAATAGTGCCAGATTGAATTTATTTTCTCGCAACGCTATAATATATTGCTCGTACGTGTGTTTGCAGCAACAGTTACGTGAAGCTAGAGAATGCTTGAAAGCTGCCTCTAGATTAAGCGAACAGCTCGAGAAAAAGGACGAGCAGATCGAGCGACTCAACGAGGAAGGTAATTATTACCAAAGATTACGTATTTCTCTGGCGTTGCCTGCATCTCGCTCCTTGTTTATGGCATGATTAGTGTTTTTCGATTAAATCGTTTTTTTTTATGCATCATGAGAAGCAAGTTGAGAATGAGTTTTCCTCTTATCACGATATAAAAGGCTGATCACGTATTTTTTTTCTCTTACACATATTTCTGCTTTTATTTTAACCCATTGCGATTGAATGACAAAAGTCGAGTTGCGCGTTGCGGCACAAATTTAATAATGCAAAAACAAATTCTATAAAATATATATAGAGGTAATATATCACGAAAAAAGAATGTGCATGAAAATTAAATCATGTCAGAGCAATTCGATATATCATCAATCCCCACATCGCGACAGCTTCGTGCTGTCAGCGGAGAGTGCAATACCTTGATAGGAAAATTGACCATATACGCTATGCAAATATATAAAAATACAGTATTTGTGACTAAAATTTCTTTGGCAAATCGTGCTGCGAACGTTATATAAATCACCATAAATAAATCTGTCAAAATTGTATGTGAAAAAATTTCGTGCTCTTCCTCTCTCCAATGATAGCGACACTGAAGTTTCTCAGCAGCTGCTGCGATGACAAATCGGCAGAGTATTCGGCCACGTGCACAGTTGACATTGAAGGCATTACTAAATTCTCGCTCCTGCGGTTCTCTGAACGGAATACAATCAATCTTATATATATGGCTTTTCTTTGTAAATAACATAAAGCACACATACGAGGACGTTTGGAAACGATCTAGGTAGCACACCGGAAGGGACGTCATTCGTATATTATACGGAACACACGCACACTCACGCGCGAGCGCGCGCGCGATCGAGGAGAGGATACGATAAAGCGTGCATTGTCGAGAACACAAACGTACTACAGTGTAAAATTTATCAATGTTCGCGTCCTGTGACTAATCTGCGAAAGCAAACACGTACACAGTCCGGTGATGTAGTCAAATATCAGCTGGTAATTCTGGGATTTGTGACAGTAGCCCAGGATTCTTGCTGGTATCTGGCTACGAACTGGATCATCGCCTTTGCATACTCACAAATCACGTATTGGTTGGTTCATGCAATTGCCGCTGGTGTTGGTACTACGTTTCTGCACTTTACCATATGCGAGTTCTTGTTTTTTTCCCCCCTGCTGGTGACTCTAACGAAAAAAAAAAAAAAAAAAAAAACGTTCGGAAACTTATAAAGAAAAAGAACCGACATTAATATTGCACTTTCTTCTGTACATGACGATAAAAACTCAGCTGGTATCCTCATCGCCTATTTTTGTTCGATCGAGTCATTATTTCGTGTTGTTATTATCTCGCAACTAATTACGAGTACGATGACTAATTAACAGTACGATTGAATGATTGTATACTGTAACGATTTCCCATTAGTAATCTATTTTCGTGTATTAAAACAAATTTATATCTTTTTTTTTATTGCACATATAGTAGGTATTGCCTTGTTTTCATTTTTATTGATAAGGTCATGCAATTATTCTACGTATTAATGTAATTTGATACACCAAAACGCATGCAAAATAGCGATTGTACAAAAAATAGTAGACATAAAAATATTTTGTATTTTTTCAAATGTGCTCTATGTATGTGTAAGCCGATTGTATTAATGATATATATTTAAACGTCGAATCTCTCTCGAGACGTCAGATATTGCGCGATTATATAATCATATTCTAATTATAACGATTATAATGATAGAATGATAGGTATTATTAATGATAGGATTATCCGAATCCAATTGCCACTGTTTTTGTCTACAAATCCTTCACTCGGAATTAATATATATTTTTTTTAATAAAACATGCCGGAGCTTTAATTAACTTCTGTTTAATCGATTGGAGAAAAACCGAAGAGACGAGATATAATTGAATGATAAAATCTCACGCTTTAATTTCACGCATGATTACGTCACGGTGTGATAAATAAAATGAGGTATTTCATATATGTTGTAAATGTGTACATACGAGTACGAGTGTTGGATATAAATGTAGAATATTGAATATACATAAATATATATATAGAGAGAGAAATGAGAGAAAAATGCAGAAATGTTGAACGTAAATAAATAACGAAAGCACGTAGTCTATGATTTGGTAGCGATGGCCGTGGGTAATCTCATGCGGTAACTATGAGCGTGTAAATACGAAAAGCTCATATTACCTCGTGGGGTTTCCCACCCGTTACCAAGATTCGTCAAAATTATGAATCTCTTAGATCGGTGAAAGATCATTTTTGACAGTTAAAAAATCGGTCACTTTTCTTTAAACCTTTGGCAAAAAGAAAAAAAAATTCACGGCATGTCGTAATTTTGTTTCTTTTTTCTTTTTGTTTTAATGATTCGTGTAAATTTTCGAGGAGTGGTGGCAAAAGATATAAAGCGTTACGTTACGTAAGTTGCTCTCTTTTTTTTTTTCGCTCTTTCTGTCCGTTGTCTCCCGGAAAAATTCCGTCCCGAACGTGCTCCGGTACGTGACTCCGGAGTACGGATCGTTTTACTAAAACGCTTCTTTAATTCTAGTGGCATGCGCGCAACCTTAGTTTCGTAGAACGGCATGATAAACGAAGAATGCAGCATGAGCAACCTAAGGCGCAGGCGAGAGTATTGCATCAGGTACTGGTGTGATATCGAGGCAACCAGTACTTGTGTTATACTTACGCTCGTGTCTTTTCGAGCTACCAATTCGCCAACTTTACGACGATGGATTACTGCGCATGGTGTACATAAAAAAAAAGTCAGAAATATTCCAACAATCGATTCCCTAAAATAAGTATCAACACCACAGCTCCACAAAGATTCGGCAGTTTCTCTGATGCGGATGTGAATGCATTTACTAAATCCTTTTTACCTTCTCACTTTTTCTCTCTGACGAAAAATTTTACAGTTCTTTAAAAAGCACGCTCGACTGCAATTATTTCCTTATATTAATCGCATTGATGACGATCGTTAATACGTGTAATATTAATTTCTAGTGGCACGATTGATAGAGTCCCTAAATTCCGCTGACCAAAAGATGAAAGAGGCAACGGAGCACGATGAGGGAAAAGTCGACAAGTGAGTAAATAATATTTCCACCTTCAACGAGACGAAATGAAAAATCATCTCCTGGATAATTCTCTTGCAGAATTCTCATCAAAAATCTTCTTTTGGGCTACTTGGCCTCGACCACGTCGGACAAGTCGTCGATCCTCCGAGTCTTTGCCAACGTCTTGGGCTTCACGGAGTCGGAGAAAGACAAAACCGGCTTGAGTAACGTGACGGCGCACGGCAGCCGGCAAGACAACAAAAATAGCAGCGCATCTTTAAAAGTATAGATTTTTTATTAAGTCTTATTAATTTTATTATAGCCGATCAGTATCTCAATACCGTAATTTCTGCTTGCACTCGAAATTCGACGACTCTGCCAACTGCAGTCGCATCACCGATAACCGATGACGTTTCGTATCTTGCAGGATCAGGAAGCATCCTTGTCAACGGCCTTCGTGAGGTTTCTAGAAAGCGAGTCTAAGCCGAAGCCTCAGCTACCAGCTTTGCCGATCGCGAATTCAGTAAGTAATAACAATGGCTCAGCGTGATGATCCTCCATTAAAAAGCGTTACTCTCATTATGCGCTATAATCGCAGGCTTCGTCGCGACCAGGCTACAACAAACAACAATCGTCGTCATCATCGTCATCGGCGCAATCTACACTACTGTTGTCCAACGTTGCTCTTCCAACATTCCCAGACTTTATTCCAGCCAGAAATACGGGATCTATTTTGAAGGAGGTGTTGAAGGATAGTTGATATTAAGCATATTATATTAAACATTGTACAAATAACATCAGAAACTAACATATAATACAACTCGATTGCATTTTATAATATCAATCCGAGTTATTTCTAACGTCTGCCATCCCACTTCAATCCTTGCGGACAATCTTGATATATATATATATTTTTTAGTAAATAACTATTATATATACCCATATTACATGTGAAAAATGAGAGAAATTTCTTGATTCATTTGAAATAATTTTAATGTAGCCATATAATGTTACAATGAACAAAAAGTATACTATACCGCTGCACTCTTTCGGCGCAGCAAAGTAACAAGATTCTCTATTTATAACGGTGACATCATATATAAGTAATAAATACATAGTACAGTTTCGTTGTGTAGCTAACGCGCGTACTAAAGGCATAAATACAAAATAAGGCTATGTATTCAAACAAAATTAGTGTACAAAATATAAATCTATTTAACGGTTTCGTAACACATACACTATTATCATATTTTATACGAGAGAGAGATATATATATACACACAGATCGGCATTTCTTCTATGAAAACTCGATCATATCAAAAAACTGGACAGCATTAACACTTTTATGAAAAATTGGATATATAAATTCTTTTTCATTGAACAACTGAAGCTAATAAATTTCTCAATAATTGTCGCAAGAGCCAACAGACAATAGCCGTTAATAATTAATGTTTCATAATCTATAAATAGGTGTCCTTCATTTAGTTAATTACGTTCATACATTGGCTGGCAAACAAGTTTTCATGTATATTCCAAGCAGACTAACTGAAAAAGTTTAATAAACATTCGCGACAATACCATAATCACTTTCCGAAATACATTTATTACGACGTTATCATTATAAATATATCTCTATATAAACCACAATCTGGATTCAGTATAATTTTAATTTTTTTTTCAATAATTATCATAAAAATCAATAAATTGTTAAATGACAAAGATTTTTCAATTTTATTCGTTAAATATTGATGGATTATTCATCAAAATTTGTAAATAAGTTTTTTTTATAAGCTCTTTAAATTTAGAACTTTGTGAATAAATGCCTTAATTTCCTAAACTTCTTTAGCGGAATGAAAGCTTATAATTTCGCAAAATTGATTTCTTCTCATACAGACACCATTATATTGTCTTATATTACGCGCACTGTGAAACTTTTATAAACTTTATGTCGAATATCAAAATGGTAGAAACTTTAATGTCGAGTATCAAAATGCGGTAGAAACTTTATAAACTTTATGTCGAGTATCAAAACGGTATCACTTTCTACCAAGGTATGTGTCAAAAGGTGTGCCTGCACACTTCGGCGTGGACCGTACTGGTAGTTAGTTTTTTCAAACAATGAACTTTGAATTTTGATATATACTACGTTCAAATGTTGTTCGATGTAAGAGCAAAATCGAAAGATTACCGTTTAAAACAAAAGTCAATGCACACGTATATCATAAAAAAAAAAACAAAAATAATACCGCGTATCGACATAATGCATAAAATCCGAATAACTTTCGGATAACACCCGATTTTCGAGCGAAATTAATGTTGTGTAGATAATATATGTATATCGGTATGAAAACAACGCGACGATCGTTTACAACGACGTGATAAAATATTTAATGTTTAATACAGCACTTTTCTGCGGCACATACATATGAATATTTCGCGTATGAGAACGCGTAGTCTAGACCCCGGCTAATTGTCTAAATTTTAATTATAAACGCGTACGCGCGCGAACAACGATGTGTTAGTTTTTTTAATTGACAGTGCGAAACGTTTGAATACAGCGTAAGCGGAACACTTTTTGTAGCAATTATTCTCGTATGTCACGGATATTAAATGTATAACGTTTCACGCAACACGTGGAACTGTTTTAAGCTCCGTTTAAGTTCCGTTTTTCGTGCACCTTTTTTTCAAGATTCTTTTAGAGAGTTATCACATGTTTCATTATATACTAACGAGATTCAAGTAATATCTTAAACGCAGATAATAAATTTCAAAGAATTTCCATATCTAGAAGCGACCTATTGTTATCGAGACATTAGTTATTTCCATACGCGACGGAAGCAATGAACTTTTGACGCACGAGAGCATCCGGTACTTCGATTTACATTCATTGATCTTGTCATGCGCTGCAATGATTCATATTTATTTCAGTCTGTTTAGTTAATAAAGCATTATTCTTCCCTAAAAAAAAAAAAACAAAAGTTGTTCATTAAAAAAAAACCCGCGTGCAGTCCCCATTAAGTATCTTGGTAATCGAGGGACGTTCAATATTCTAATACTCTCGAGTCACCCTTCGTGATTCACAAGCAGCTCGATTCACAATCGCTTTAAAGTAGCAATCAATACTAATGTAACGTCACGTCTAGCCTGAAAAAGACCCCGGATACTCGCTGCTACGCAATCGAGATTACACATATACACCATGTGTCCGATAGTCCTTCACAATTATTAACAATCTTATCTAAAACGTTAATCAGTATTCTTTTGGTCCTATTGTCTACTATACTACATACGTGTCAGCGTCAAAGTTTCGCTTCTCGCACCGACTTGCGTAACGACGGACCTAAAAACGCGATCGTATATCATAATTTCATCTCCCACAAGACGATATGTGCGTCGTTGCTGTTAGGATCTTTGAACGCGTAGGTCGATTTCGAGCCCTTGTCGATGCCGGACTGCGCGTGGAGTTGCCTCCAATTGATATAACCGCGTCCGCCCATCAGCGTTAGCACCGTTCGTTTCGGCTGCTCTACCTGCTGAGCCGCCTTGCCGTTCTTCTTGCCGTTCGCCTTGAGATTGGCCGCGGACGTTGCCTCCAATCCCGATTCTACTGCGCTATTGTTAGGTGTAGAGAGGTCGTAGGGACCGTTACGACTAGCTATGCTACTATTACGCGATAACTTTCCAGTTTTTAGAGACAGGTTCTCCTCCGATCCGGAAGACGTGTACAACGAGCTGGCGTGAGAGTCCACCGACCAGTTGGAGAGGTCCAGCGACCTGGGCCTAGTGATTTTCATTTTTAATCTACGATCCAAGGTACTCACTTTATTTGGTATGGCCGCCAGCTCGGGATCGCTTCTTCTCAACGACTCGTAAATGGGATCTATGCCCGAATTGTTCTCATTCTCGTAGTCCTTCACGTACATCAGTTCACCGTAAAGCCCGTAAACGTCACAGTTTTCACCGGAACTTTGCGAGCTGGAGAAGGAGCTCGACAGGAGTCCGCAGCCGGCGCCCAATCCTCGGGGAAGTGTCTTCGAGCCTCGGCAGTCGTACTCCTTGCTCCGCTTTCTCCTCAGCATCACCGGGCTTCCCGTCAGCTGTTGCTTCAGTTTCACGATGTTGCTACACACGGAGGAATCCAGACTCGTTCTGTCGCGCGACCTCTGCTCGGCGTCCCTCGCTCGCAACTGTACACCCTCGTCGTCAACGTTGGTGCGCTCCTTCGCGGAGCACACTGTGTTCTTCGTGTTCTGTATCGCCAGTAAAAAGGTGATCGGACCGAAGTGGGCGTGATACGAGATATTGACGCGACCGCTGATGATGGGCACGCCTTCCAATCGCGGTAGTGGAATGGTCAGGCTGATGCCTACATTGGTACCGACCCACAGGAGACCCTTGCACGCCAAGAGCGCCGTGACCGTGACCGCGGTTTGATTGTTAACGGCGAGCGTGCCGCCGCACGAGTTACCGGGACTGTTCATTTTCGTCACTCTCAAAACGTTGGACGCTATATTGATGTCCTGCAGGTGTTTAAACGTTTCCGTGTGATAAAGGCAAACTGTGCTCGAGTTCTTCAGGGCGACCCAAAGCCCGACCCCGGAATGCGCCATGAGCTTCACATTACCGACGTGCTCGTGTTGCGCGCTGAAGCTCTTGGTGATCTCGCCCGAAGTAGCGTTAAGTACCCACACCTTCTTGCCGCAGGCGGCGTAAACTGACGTGTTAATTGGCATCAAGCACGAGACAGGATCGTTACCCAACGATATGCTGGAGGGATCCTTCAGAGACCACGCGCCGTCGACTTGCCGTTTGAACAGAAGCAACAAGCCCGTGCCCAAAGCTACGAAGACGTTGTCGCAATGATACTTGATCTCTATTATGGGTCCCGAGACGGGGTAACTGCCAATCTCCTCCTCTTTCTCGGGTTCCGTCGCGGCGTAAATTATAATCCTCCGAGAATCCGTGCCCATCCACACGAGATCGCTGGCGAGCGTGGTAAGATCGCTGGACACTCCTTTCACGAACTCGACGGCGCTCACTCTAGTCTCAACCAGATCGAAAGTGGTTATACGTTTCAAACAGGTCGCCGAGGCCGTCGTCGACTGACCGTAAATCGTCACGTGGCTGGATATGCCGTCTCCCGTACATATCCACAGATAATTTTGACTTCTACCGCGTCGTCTCGTGGAACGTGAATTTTCAACGGAATAATAACAACCGCAACGCACCTGCAAGCAAGATATATTGCGATACGTGTAAATGCGTTATGTACAAGCAATAAAGGCAACGGGTATACGCGTATATTTCTTTATCTCAACTTACTTCGGTCTGATGTTGCGAATGATATACGGCTTGCGAACTAACGAAAAGCGGCATTTTCGTAGACGGTCTCTGCTCTTGTTCAGGTACTTCCCACGACGGAGAGTTATTAGGATCCAAAGCCAATTGCGCTAATCTAAGCTCCGTTATCCAATCCTTTTTCACCAATGGACTTTCCGTTTGAAACGTATACATTTGACCTTGTTTTGTGACTAGCTGAAGGCAACAACTATCGGCCCACACCATATCCTCATCTTTCTGCTGTATCGACATTTGTATCGATTGCAGAATTTGCTTGGTTGTCTGAAGCGTCATCCCCTTTGAATTCAAACAAGAGAAAAACATCAATAATTAGTTTGCCGCAAGTCGATTACAACTCTTGAATTTTTATCACAATAATACAATTTACATTTATATTTTGTTTCAATAGGTTTTATAACAAAGGCATGTAATAGCGGAGTGATCAATTTGTCCTTACCTCGTATCTGCCCTTTAACTGAGCCACTAAATCACTTATTCTGGACATCACCTCGTAATCGTGCATAAGATCGTTCATCTCTACACAGAGGTTATCCGCGTCAGCTGCTTGTCCACACTCTCCGCTCTTGTCGCTTTTTAAACTGCCGCCCTTATTCAAGCCAGCGGTGAGCAGTCGACTTAAAGTCGGAGAAGTGCTGGTGTCTTGAATCTAAATGAATTCATTAATAATATTAACGTATTTTTAAAAAAATATTCAGTTTGCTCTCACGAACAATTGATTTCAATATCGAACGAGATTACAAGTTGTGCTATATTTTTATACCTCGATATCTGACACCGGGTATGTCCATTTTAACGTTAGCCGTTCGTTTCCCGAAAAGTCCTCCGTGGATCTCGGAGTGACGGAGACGCACACTACCAAATCGTTCAATAACAATAGCCTTCTTCTCTTGGATTTCGTTATCATGCCATTTTGATTAAATTCCTGTAAATAAACGTTTATAAACAAATAACATCAGTGATAACAAGTTGTGTCTCGAGTGCATTTTGTATTCTGTTAAACGAGCCTTACCATTTGCGTGACGTTGTCCTCCCTAATGAGATAACGAGACGTCGAAGAGAGCGGACGGTGTGACAACTTTCCGGAAACGTGCCGCAACATTTCTTTAAACGCCTGGAATTGTTCCGCCTCTCGTTTCCTCTCGTTTAGCATTTCTGCTAAACTCTCGAGCTGCGTTAATGCTAATTGCAGCGACATTCTGTCATGGTGTCCTTGCGGTGTATGCTTCAATAAATCCTAAACACAAACAACATATGTGTTACTTTAATGGGGAGAGGAAAGAAACTGAGTCATTTTTCATCGTTTAAATCATCCTTAATACTCACTTGTAAAAACAGGATAAATTGTGGAAACCTCTGCACGGGTTTGACCATTAATCCGAAGAACGACAATCTATCGTGAGCGCTTATTTGTTTCACCTGCAACAACGGATTATAAAATTAAAATTCACATACACTGAGATACGAATTGTTTTTTCGCGGGATACGAGGCAGATACCTTGAAGAAGTCAGCAAGTGCGGTTTTTCTCTTCGATTCTTGCTTAGCTAAATCCATCGCCACGGAAAAGTTGTTTATGAAGCCGCTGTAAATGTCAAGGACAATGGCCTTGCTGAAACTCGCGACGAACACGTCCCCCAACTTTTCATCCTTGTCCCAGGATCGTACACATTCTGCCAGAGCAATTCTAAACAGCGTATGGCATTGTAAAATTTCGGGCAGCCTGTGGAACAACGTCGCAATTTTGGATTGACTCAATATAGGCGGCGAGGATTCCTCCAACGGTTTCTTGTAATCCTGAACATTAAAGCAAGTGATCTATGTGAAAAAAATGCCCCGTCGTCCTTTGACACGGTATCAGACAGTGTCTCTCGATACGTACGTTTACCAGTCTCTGCAAAGTGGATACATAACTATTTTCGGAGTGTACTATCGCGGCCACGATATGTCTACGTTTCAGTTGCTGAGGGGTCAGGTTCGGGGGTGGCGACGGCAGCGTCGGCGGAGCTTGTCTTCGCTGTTGCATGCACTGAAATTGTACCATAGCACTATTCTCCTCGTCGACCTATAAAAAATTAAAAATAAATAAATAAAAATAAAAAACGATTATTCGATGAGTATCCTTCGATTTCTAAGCGGATTGTTCGAGGTAAACGACGCGTAGGGCGATTAGTTTGAAAGATTGTGAAGGAAAATATGCTCACCTCGCAGAGCTGCGGCATTTGTGCCGTTTTGACCGGGCTGGTCAGAGACACCGTGTCCGTGGAGTCGACGTCGTAGTGATGCGCCGAGCCCCGGCGGATGCTGAACCACCTCGAGAGGCGGCCGTGGTTCCCCGGGGACTCCATGAGGTCCACGTTGTTCCCCGGCATATTCTGAAACCGCCACTTGTCGCAGAGCGTGCGCGCCTTATGCAACGTGTTTCTCAATTGACAGTTGCTTCTGCAAGGAGCGAACGGAGAGCGAGTTTTCATTATGGACTTTAGCAGCTTCGCCGGCGAACGTTATGTAACGAGATTGAACTTACTTAATACTGATATTGCTCTTTTCGCTTTCGTCATCGGAGGAGAGATCGTGGTCCGACGCCGAGCACCAGGAGTCCTCGCTTCTGGCGGACTGCGTGGACGTGTTGGATCTGCTGGTCTCTAACGAGGAATGATGCGCGTGCGAATTCCCGCTAACCGCTTCCATCTTGCCCGGCTCTACGTCATCCCACGATCTGCATCTTGAACGAGGCTCATCTGGAAGGCAAACAACAAACTCACGATTCACGAGCTGGTGAAGGAAACGACAACTTCGCGCGCGTTCATCCTCCGATCTCCGATAAATAAATAAAAAAACAAAGAAGAGAGGGAGAAGAGAAGGTTTCACGACTCCGAGATTTTTTTTATCTGTAAGCTTCGCAACTCCGGATGGAACTGAGTAAATAGTCCTGGCGCGTCATTGCGCGATCAGCTAAACATATCCGCTATGCGTCACCACTCGAGAGAACAGGCGATTCTTTCCGTATATCCCATCCTCTCTCGGCGATACGATCGGCGACGCACACAATCGGCCACGGCCGTCAAAGGGGAAAAAAAGAACACACGCCAAGTGCGTGTGCAACCAAATTGTGCCTCGCGAACGCGGACGCGAGACCGAGTCCGGGGGCCCCCTCGCGCGGAAGCCGTCACCTCGCTCTCGGTGCGCCTCGGTTTTATTGGACCTTCCGCTGCGTCGCGCTGTCTCGCGTTACCAACGCGTTAACGTCGCGACGATAATCGGGTTAAATGCGACGTGCTCGCCCGTCCGTCCCGTTCCCACGTTTCTCGCGTACGCGGACGAGAGCCTGCGAAAAATGCGCGCGTCACCGGCGACGATCTACGACGCAATCGTCGATGTGTTGCGCGCGTTCGACTCTGAGCGTCGAGGACGGCTCCCGTCCGGCGAGTCGCCTCGAACTGGACCCCTCCCGGCGAATCCCTCGCGAAAACCGCAGCGATTCACCGTCTCGCGGACGGACGACGCTGCACGTTCGCGCCGCGCGAGCCACGCAGATGGAACAACGTACAAATACGTTATATGCCTTACGCGGAGCGCGTCAGTGTGAAGGAAAAGGGGAAAAAAAAACGTGAAATCATAAAACACGTATAATCAAGTGAGTTTACCAATGCTGCAAGGTCTTTTATAAATTCTGAACCGAGGGCACTGGAATGACAGTAAATAACGGTCGGCGCGAAGCCAGTCTGATCGATATTGTCGATTTCTCACCGTCTCGTTCCACTGAAACGAACTCCGCGGGGGAACGAAAAAAAAAAAAAAGAAGAAAAGACCGAGTTTTATAATACACAGAGAGATTATGAAGGCACGCGCCGCGATCACGCGGTGTGTCACCAACGGGTCCCGCACGAAAACCAATAATACGCCTACTACTATACGCGCGTCGATATTGCCCAATACTTTCACGTGGAAAAAAAAAAAAGAATACGGGACGGCAAGATCGGGAGAGATCCCATCACGACTCTCGGTTCCCTCGGACTCCGCTCTTACGCTACCCACGCACCGAGGAAGGAGTTGCGTGCTCGCGCGTGTAAACGTCGCGTCGTGCGCGGCTCAAGGTAGCAAGGCAGAAGGCTCGCCGCGGCAACGGCGGCGGCGGCGAAGCAAGCAGGTAACGAGAGCGAAGTACGCGACAACGTCGTGATTCACGGGATGCCGCGCGAACCACGGACGGCGGTACCACGCACGGTCGTGGCGAATGTCGCGCGCGCGCCGCGCATCCTCCTCCTTCGGCGATCGTGCGACGTGCACACGCGGCCGACGACTATTCCTCCTCGGGATAGACGCGAGCCTCTATCGCGCGTATCTATCAACCTGCTCGCGCGTGCCCTCGCACACGCATGGGTACGAGAAAGAGAGAGAGAGAGAGAGAGAGAGACGGATGACGAATCGTTCTCCCTCCCACCCGTCTGTTTTCCGCGCTACGAGTTTTGTACAGCCGGCTAACGTGTACTCGCGACGTGCGTGTTTATCCATAATAGTACTACTGCGAGTTTCTAACTTCCGTAAGATCCGCGCGCGCACCCTTCTGAAACGATTAATTAACCGGGTTTCCAAGGCGTATACATCGCGACCGCGGAATCTCTCCGTCTGAGACTCTTATAAAATTATACGCAATAGCGTAAACGTAGTCGTAAGCCCCCTGTTAAGCCGTAAGAAATTGACCAATCGTAGTTATATTCGACTTATATATTCGACCGCGACTGGTCAGTTTCTTACGACTATACGGCTGCGTTCGGGGAGCGCGCTATTAGCGCTAGCGCGTCGTTCTATTCTCGCTTTATGTTTAAACGATAAAGAGAGAATGACACACAACAGCGCTGATAGCGCGTTCCCCGAACGTGCCTACGTTCACGCCACTGTAGAACGGCCTTAAAAGTACACGAAACGCTCGAATGCGAGCGAGACGCACTGCAGCCGGCCGGGGCTCTGCTACGCACGCCACGTCTCCGTTTTATTCAAAGACACAATCGGAGGGAAGCGGGGTGGTGTGGAACGCTCCACTTTCCGCGGGTGCATTAAACCTAAATGTCACAACGAGAGGCAATTGTTTAACTCTACATATTTAAGGCAATCGAGCCTTGGCGCGACGACACAGTCGCGCTCGGCTTGGCGGGCGGGCGACGACGCGAGATCAGCCGGCACTCTTCTTCTTTTTTTTTCTTCTTGGGCCAACACGTTGTGTAATCTCGTTCCCAGACAACGACGGGAGAGCGACGAGTCGTCGTCGGTTTACTCGTCCTTATCATTTCTCCCCTTATCCAGCTCTCCTCCGTGTCTCCTTCGCACGCGGATAAGTCTATACGCTGCGCGAAACGTGCGCGAAAGTTTGAAGCAAGCAGCTTGAAGGCAGGAGGATGCAAATGGGAGAGAAGATGAAGAGAGAAGGTTGCTTGACGTTTTCAACGACGACGTTCCGAGCGATCGCGGGCCCCGGTAATCTAAAAAGCATCTCGGCGCGTTTGTAATCGTGGCAACTCGCCCAATTTCCTTTCACTATCTCGACCAGTTCCCTCGCGGCGGCTATGTACGACGAATATGGAGCAACGGGGCGAAGGGGGAAGGGGGAGGGGGCGCGCGGCGCGCGCTTTCAACAACGAGCGAAAAATCCGCGAGTCCGCCGTGACATTTCAATAGGCGCTTTTGCGATAAAAGAGCACGCCTACGCGCGGCCAGCAAGGTTTCTTCGATGCACTAGATATTCGGCATTGCGTAACGTGGACGTAACTTGCACAAAGGCACATAGCAGCAGATATATAATTCTACAATCGTTAGACCACAAATTAACTTCTCTTTACGTAGAGAGATCCATCCTTATTCCGTCGTTAACGTACGTATTATTTTCTCTTTACAGGCAAGATTCTTCGGCCCATCGTCCTACTCATCTCAAATGGATATCAAATATGTATTTAATACCGCGCAGAGTTTTAGACATATGTTAGATATAATGGAAATTGGAAACATAGCTGTATAATGGAATAGATGTTTTAAATAATAATTTTTGCAATGTAAAGGTCACTTTAGACCTTATGTACATTTGTATCAGATTCCAGGGTAGAATTTGTTTCATAATTTTATATGTCGAGTGTTTTGACATACATTTTATACATGTGTTTATTTCTTATCATGGGCCGGTTGTTCTATCTTCGGACAAATTATAATTTATCTAATGGAAAAATGTCCGATATATAGCATATGCTCTACAAATATTTATCCATTAGATAAATTACACATAGTTTATCCGAAGGTAGAACAATCATCCTAAATGTTTTCCCGCGTACTATATACGTATAAAATTCTCTCTCTCTCTTTCTCTTTCAAATCAATCTTTCATGACAAAGATGATCACAATTTGATGCATGCTCCATGATGGACTGTCTTGACAATAAGATACTTTCGGTGATTTGCCTTCCAAGTAAAACAAAATAAAATAAAAAATTAAATTGAAAATAAGAGTTTTATCCTGAGCTCTCGCACAAGTTATATAGATAGTCTGTGGCATATTTTGGACAACGATAACACGAGAATTTTTCGCGTTGCTGAAAAAAAGCGCGAATCACGTGGCACGTGTTCCTGTTCTCTCTCTCTCTCTCTCTCTCTCTCTCTCTCTCTCTCTCTCTCTCTCTCTCTTTTTCAACGTCATTAGGATTTCGCGACGTTTCTCGTATTCGCGTCAGTCTCAGCAATACACGTTCGGCGATGTGTGTGTGTGCGCGCACGAGCAACGCAACAATTTTCCATACCGCTCACGGGTCAGAGCGCCCGTTAATGATTAAACCGATTGCGCATTCTAAAACTAACGCGAGGGGTTCCGACCTGACCGGTGACCTTATGCGCGCACCGAGTGACCCCCTCGGAGGCGCCGTAACGACTCGATTATCGAGATTACCGATCGATCGGCTCCGACGAACAATTACAATCCTGATCTTTGATCCGGGTCCGTGCGGATCTCGACGGAAACCGCGAGCGAGAAGATGCGATTGACGAAACGGAACGAAACGAAACGCGCGGATGGCCGGCGCAGCGGGCGGCGGGTCGACGTCGACCCGCCGCCGCCGTCGCCGCGCCGACGCAATCGTCCCAATCTCCGTCGATGCGGGCGTTTCAATGGCCGTTCCCCGCGGCGCGATAAATGTCGAAACTATAATTAACTATACGATGCGCGCGGAAGCGCAGTTTACGACAAGGCCGACATCGAGTTTTTTTGAGGCAGCGAACTCGGATCATCGAAATCGTATTACTCGAGACGTAAATAGTGCGCAAATCGACGTCCGGGACGAGCGTCAATACGCCATCTCATCTGCCGTGGTGATTGATCCGTGACCGGCCCCTGACTTTTCAGCGGCGCCCGTGATAATCGCCTGAGTGACCTGCGTTATCGAAAGGCTTTTTTTTTTAAACGCTCGTAAAAAATAAATGCTATGATGAAATTTTAAATGGCCCATGGTAAAATTAAATTCTAATCTAAAAAAAAAAAAGTATGTAATTCAACACGCTATCCACGAAAAGGTAGCCTTATTTAATCACATTACACAATACTATTTGATCATTACGTGCTCAGAGTGCTTAGAATGAAAGTTCTACCACGGTTCTACGGTAAGACACACAAAGCTCGCTGAACAGAGACAACTCTCGAGTCTACACGCTGTACTTCTGTGTACACAGGGAATTCTCTACCACCTCGGACCTTTTACGTCTAACCGGACGTGAAGATTTTTTTTTATATGCTCTGGCAAAAATGAGGCAAATATTTTTCGACAAATTCTTTTTCCCCGGAAAGCACCAAGTGTCGTGGAATGCGATTGCAAGATCAAAATTTAAGTCCGCTTGCTAAACCGCAAAATATAAACATTTAAACAAGGAGATATAAAAATAATTTGAAACCACCGTCCTATCGCGTATCTGGTCCCGGAGTTTAACTTACATTTAATCAAATCAAGATTAAATGTAGATCAAACCTGCGAATGTCAATGGAGATGCGGGCTGCTTCCAAGCGTCGTCTCTCAGACAATCCTGAATCTATACGGGAGATTTTCAGGAAAATCGAGAAGAGGATGCGAATGCAAGCACGATCTTTCCTATCGTTCGCGCGTCGCGCGACGTTGAAATAACGTCGCTCCTGGGTAACCGTCGGTCGTTACGTCGGTACGACCGGATCGCGTCGAGCCGGAAACTGGTACCGGTACCGCTGACATAACGTAATCGCGTCGACGCACCAACGACGCGCCCGACGTGGAACACGCGAGATATACTGACGCCTCGTGGACGCGAGGAGCAGGACGATGCTCCGTATCACGATAAAAACGCTTAAGGTTTCACGAAGCGATATCGCATCCGCTTCCGCTCCGGCTCCTCCGTTCCATTCGAACGCGATGATCGACGGAGCCCGACGCGCGAGGGGGGACGGACGAGCGGCGAAAGCGAAACTGCCGAGAGGCGACGGAGGTCGGAGGGGCATCGCTGCAAGGAGAGGACGCGCATATCGTTCCCTATATCTCTCGCGGAAAATCCGCCTACTTACATTTGATGAGGACAACCCCGTTGTGCAGTTCCTCCATCTCGCGGAGGCGAATGTTCCTCTGCGATGATTTACTCTCGCGTAACATATACACAACTCCCTCTTTCTCTCACTCTTTCCCTCTTTCTTTCGCCCTCACTCGCTCACTCCACTATCGCTCTTGTTCTGCTTATTCGCAGAACGCGATCGCGCTACCACACGCGAATTCATAGCGCGCCGCCCGCCCGCACGCCCGTGCGCACGTATATTATATATATATATGTACGCGCGTGCAAAACACAAACGCGCGCGCGCGCGCACACTCACGCATGCCCCGGATGCCGCGATTATTACGCGATTTTACGAGGCGAAAAATCACATCGGGCACGTGCGCGACGCGGCCGGCCGCGGCCCGCACAATTAACAACAACGCCGCGCGGTACAGCGATAAAGGAGGAGCAAGAGGAGGAGGACAACAGGACGCTCCGCGCCGCGCCGCGCCGCGTCGCGCTCGACGAAGAAGCGCCACGAGCGAGGCGAAGCAAAGCGAGGCGAGGCGAGCGAGCGAACGGAGCGAGTCAACATGGCCGCGCCGCGTGTTTCTGGCCCCGGCCCTCCGCCGCGCGCTCGCTAACGCGTATAGCCGCTGCACAGCACTGACGTCGGAGGTTGGAGAAAGAGGCGAAGGGCACGGAGGAAACGCGAGACCGAACCGAAGCCGGGAGGTGGGCGGGCGGGGTGGAGGGAGGGAGGAAGGAACGCGAGCGAGCGAGCGAACGGCCGACACGACGGAGGAGGGTGCCGAGACAAACGAGAGAGAAAGTACGAGCGATCGAGAGTGAAACGCACGAACAAACAGCTCGGCGGGCCGCTTGTAGCTCGCAGCTGTGAGAGAAGAGACCGGAGAACAGAGGTGGACGGACCGGGTTGTCGAGAGACGGTGAATGAATATAAAAGAGAGGAAGAGGCGCGGTGCGGAACGCGCGCGCGAGAAGGGATATAGGGAGGAGAGAGAGAGAAATATATGTATATACATGTATATACACATGGCGACAGCTGTTGCCGTAGAGTCGAGATAATAATTAAGAGCGATAGAATTCGAGATAATAGGAGCGCTAGAGAAAGACGCGAGATAATCTGGCTTTGGGAGGGAGGGAGGGAGGGACAACCACCGTCATCGGCTAGGCGATGTGTGTGAATGCGTTTGGCGAAAACTCATTGCGAAACTCTTTGGAAACGTTACGCCGCGCCGCGCATAAGGTGTACGCGATTGTTATATACAAATCGGCGTGACGTGTTAACGACGAGAGGGTAATCGGAGCCGGGATAATAAAGGTAATTTTCGTTCTATTGCCGTGAGGTCGGGTACGGGAATTACATTGTGCGAATCGAAGCGAGCGTTTCTCTATGCCATGCAGAGTGCGGAGCCTCCCGTTCGCAAGGTCTTGCATTACGAATATAAATACATACGTATATACGTGAGATATATACGAATGCGCGACTCGACCGGTACGGCGGTCGCGCCGAACGCGCTTGTAACACTCGCGTGACTCGCGCGTCTCGTCGCCGCTGTCCTGCCGATAGTCGGCGCCACTGGCCGTGCAATTGGAACGCCACGCGGATTATTTTTTTTTATTTCCGCCGTTTCATAATAAAGCATATCCCGTAAATTCTTTCGTCTCGACTTCGGGAACCAGCGGTCGAAAAATATTCATCCTCAGCTCAGTCAGTTTTATAAGACGCTCGTAAATAAAGCTGCCTCGTAATCCGAAACCCTAGTGTTCGCTCACTCCCTTCCTCTTTCTGTTCTCTACATATCTCTTGCACAATAAAAAGAATTCCACACGAATAATGCGTAAAATGATGACCGCAAGAGCAAAGATTCTTCGAGTACATAAACGAGATTATTTCTACAAAATTATTCCAACCATATAAACAAAAATAATTCGTTTAATTAAACATATATGCGGACCATACGTATGCATTTTTTATAAATTACTTTGCATGAAGCTAATTCGGGGAAAATAAATTACGGTACGTTAATGATCTTGATTTCTAAGTAGGGAGAAATCGCCAACTTTTTCGCGGAGCGGTCGACAACCGGCGAGAGAAAATGTAATGAGTCCAAGTGAGCGTGTAAAGCCCGAAAGAGGGTTACGCGACGTAAGCAGGAGGAAAAGGGGAAGCGAGGATAGAGAGAGAGAGAGAGAGAGAGAGAGAGAAAAAGAGGGTGGGAGGAAGGAGGAGGGGACGGGCGTTTCACGTGATCTCGCATCTGCTTCTCCACCGAGTGACCCTGCGGCTGACCCCATCCAAGTACCAATAATTAACTCCATTCGCCAAATGCACGCGAGCGCGCGGACCGAATGTATGAGCCGCGACTCGTGTGTTTATAATACTCGCGAGCTGCAGGCGTTGTTGTGAAAAAGAAAGGCTATATGCGTACTTGCGCAGTTATGCGGCGACAAAACACCTTAAAAGTGGCGCGGGGACAATGCGCGAGTATATCCGTTGGCCGCGAGCATTCCGTAATAATCGTTTCCCTTTTCGTAAATCGTAGAGACGCGCTCTACATTTTTTTGTCAGGGCAATCACGATTCTTGAAATCTTACGTCTTGCGTCATGTGATTACGATATCATATACACATGTGTAAATCTTCCCTTTCTCCCTTCCCTCCCCCCCTTCTCTAGTTGATAATTTCTCGTTCGCAACGTGTATGTAAAATACACGCGACTGTATGTAAAATAAGAAAGAAATCGCCACGCGCGCCCTTTCCTTTCTCGCTTCTGAGAAACGCGCTTCAAGGAAAACGCCGGTTTGTATTCTTGCCGCGTAACGAACTACGCATCGAGAATTTGTACCGGATTGCTCACGCGCAAGTAATTCAAAGTCGCACGCAGTCTGCAACACGACTGCCGAGCACGATCATCATATTCGCGAAACGACGACAATGCGATAAAAGAGAAGGAGGGAGAGAGAGAGAAAGAGACGGCCTGCGAGATTGGACACTTTGGCTACCATACGCCTCTACTTATCTTATCTCCCGCAAACGAAATCGATACTATTAACGATTCATCAGACTCACCAACGAGCTTGGCGCTACTGCCGCTGTTGCTGCTCCCGAAGGAGTGAAGTTTTTTCCAACCTTTCCAGCCTTTCTTCCATATCATAGCGGCTTTTGTCTTACGCAGCACGCCCATCGGTTCCGGGCCGTTCGTTCTTACTATTCCCCTTCTCAAAGATCCCAAGCCTGATCTGTAAATTAAATTCAAATATAAGACTGGAAAACATATATATATATATATATATATATATATATATAGATCTGCTTGCAAAATTAAGCGTTTAAAAGCAGCGTTCTTATAATTTATCTGCGCGAATTAAAAGGCGAGACACGAATGCGAGAACAGTTCCTCGCACGTACCTGTAACTCGCGGTGGAGCTCCCGCTGAAACCGCTGTCCATGTCACATCCGACGCGAGAGAGAAGATCGTCAGCGGGACCGACCGAAGGCAACAGCTCCTCGGTAGAGGTCCCGTGAGCCTCCTGCGTCATCTCCTCCTCGTTATTGTCGGCCGCGGTTGGCATCAGCATCGCCTCCACGCTTAAATTGAGTTCCCCGAGCACACGGCGATGCCGCGACTGTACGCGACGCACCTCCTCTGCCACGAGCGACCTTCGCGATCCGTGTAATGCGCGATGGCATTGCTTGCTGGAAAATAAAATTTATCGGGTACAGTTCGGAGAAAGATTTGATTGCCGCGCGACTGCTTGTGCGTTACACACCGTCGCGTTACGCTTTAGTAAAGCATTGGATTAAAAAAATTGCTGTAACTACTACACATGAACGCTCCGCGCTAAATAAATATACGATTAAATTTTGAATTGAACGCTCACTGATCTCACTGAGTTCGCGAGAAGAGACAGATTACGAGCTATCTACGTGGTCTCTCGACGACATACGGAATAATATAGTTGTGCACTTAACGAGCGTTCTCAATTTGAACGCGCGCGCGGTTTATCTCGTCTCAATGACTTATGCGCCAGTCGAGGACGCTGCTCGGATGAATAATCCGCAACTTGTTTTCTTATTGTTCCCAAGTCAATCGCTATCTCCGGCATCCGCTTCAAAGATACATTGAACCGTGGGGAGTTGGCGAATTGTTGTTCACTTGCGCGGCGTATATTAATCGCGCCTTATACGCCCGTGGGAAAATTTATTTCACGACTGCTCGTGTATATAGTGTCGCGTAAATATCGCGCGTTCAACTTTTTAATAAAAAAAAAAGAGAAAAAAAAAGCATATAATTTATATTCCCTTCGTCAGTTTCCAAACACCGGTAATCGCGAGTGCAGCGATGTTTGGCGACTTGTTGCAAGTTTTAAACATTTCTGCAGAGCTAATAACGTAGACAACTCGTGCATGCGGATGATCTTTTAATGGACACTCACCTGATTTCTGATATCTCCTCGTAAATGTTTTCCTCCGTGCCATAGCAGGTTGTGTAAGTGTGTCTCTTTAAAGGATCCGACCTTATCTGCTGCAACTGTTGCTGAGATTGTCGTAGCTGCTGCTGTTGCTGCTGCTGCTGCTCTTGTTGCTGTTGCTGTTGCTGCTGCTGCTGCTGCTGCGACAGCACCTCTGCCGGATACGTCGCATGGTAATGGCCCGAATCAGACTGGTAGTACGCATACGAATAATCCAAGAGATGCTGGCGTGAACTCGCGATGGGTGACAGCATCGGCGATACCGGTTCCATTAACGCGTTACACGACATCTGCGAAAAACACGAAGCGCCGCTATGTGCGATAAAAGTAGACTGCGATGGACGCTAAACAGCGTCGATCATTGCGCGACGCTTGAAAGAAATACGTGTCGAATAAATAAGAAAATGAATATCTTCGTCGAGAGAGAGAGAGAGAGAGAGAGAGAGAGAGAGAGAGAGAGAGAGAGAGAGTATCGCTGCCGCACAATTAAACGCACGAATGTGCGCCATTAGCGAAATTAACGATTCGCGAAATTTACCTGATTGTGGGGCGGCGGGTAAGGCGGAGGTGGGGGAAATTCCAGGTTGACTATTCGCGGCGGCGGGATGCCCGACGTCATTCCTGGGCCCCCTAGGGACGAAGCCATGGCACATGGTACGGACGACGATTTAACTGAACCACCCCGGTCGCTTCCAGGGCTACGTGTCCCATCGGATGACTCTTTTTTTCTCTTTCTATCTAGAAACAGGGAAAACAGGATGTATTTTACAGCCGGCGTGCGTCGCGCCCGTTCTCGGCTCTCGGTGTTCGCGCGCGTCCGCGCGACGTGCTCGCGGAGACAATAGAGTCGTTGTTGTTGCCTCTCTCCCCCCGACCCCGCCCCCTCCCCGGGGGGAGGGATCTCCTCGTCGGAGATTACGCGACGTTATTTAACGCACTTACCGTAGACGCGGGGCGTTACGAAATTCGTCCCGCGAAAGCGTACTTACGGGGCGGGAAGAAGTCACCGTTTATCGCTCGCGACAATCGACAAAAAATAGCGGTCGGAAGGAAGCGGGGGTCGTATACGCGAGACGACGGCCGGATAAGCACACACGGCCGGGGTGTATCTCTCTCACGACAAGGATGCAGGTGCGGGCGCGCGCGCGCGCGAGTTCTACTCCAAATATTTACGCGTCATCGGGTTCTATTAAACACGCGCGCGTAAAAGCGAAGGGAATAATCGCGACCGAGAACGCGGGCAACGTTGCTCGCTGAACCTCGCTCGTCTCTCTGCTGCTCGCGTTGCGTCAAATTTTAAAATTTCGCTAACCAGATAAACTCTCGCGGCCTGCAAACAAAACTACCGTGGAGTATAGGACGGACTCCGCGGTGCAGAGTGGACGGCGCGGCGCGTCAGACGAGGCTCGGATGCCCGATTCTCGCTCGGCCTGTCGCCCACAAGTCGCACAGAGAGGTGTGAAAATATTTACTATCCCCCGCGTAACGCACGCGTTTCACAATATCGCGATAAAAATATCACGAGTGCAAAGAGCCATCCACTTGAGCACACAGAAAATGTATTTGGCGAGCGCGTTGGCGAAAATTAATTTGTTCAACTTTTTTTCCTTCTCTCTTTTTCTTATACAATTAGATTTGAAAACTCGAAAATCTCAGAAGGATCACGCGAGCGGGACAAAGGTGGAGCGACGTGAAACTCGAAATTCCGCACACGGAGGCACGCGCACACATAAACAAAGTTGTTTATGACAATATAAATTGAAGTTTAGCACGTGCAAGAACCAAAATGATCAGCCTACGTACCACGCTGTCCCGTTTTTTATTTTTACTATCCACAAGCAATGAAAAATAAATTATTAAGAAATCGGATAAAGACAGTTGATTCACAATTTAATTTAACGATTCCAAATTAACGTAATTACATATGCTCGTCGACGTTTAAAAAAAAACACGCGAGATTAATCTACTTTACGAAAATAAAAAATTAGCTTTCAGAGCGATTCGTTAACACGCGGTTGCTCCTCACAAAAAAAAAATGACACGACGCCAGGTTGTTTGTCTCACAGGTGCGCGCTCCTCCCAGGAGAATCGAACACCACGCGTTAATCCGTTTCACGTTCGGTGGCTGAACCGTCGCGGACGCGCGGGAGGCGGAGAAAGGACGGAAAGTCGGTCTACCGCGTGCACGTTTATCGCACTCGGGGACACACCAAAGAAAAGTCAACTACCTCGGGTACGGCGAGATCTCGGGGGGGCGAAGGGGGTCCTCGTCGATCCGTCGTCGATCCCGCGATCGTCGTCGCGGCGGAGGGCTATCGCGCGCTATTGACTGATCCGCGCGTCAAATCGCGTCAATGTTTGGAATCCGGGTATAATTATAAAGCGAGAGATACCTCGTAGCGGGGCGAGACGAGAGAGGGCCAGGCCACAGGCTTCGAGAGGCACAACGGGACCACGCTCTCTCGCGCGTCCGAACGCTTCCTCGGCGAAGAGACAGAGAGAGAGAGATGGCCCTTAATCCCTTCGGATCGTCGTCGATGGGTAGACACGCAGAGCGGAGTGGGCCCCCACACAAATACACACAACACACGCACACACACACGCACACACGCGCGGGATTCCGCGGCTCGGCGACCTCGGCGTTCACGTGCCGCGATCGTTCGCGATCGAGTGCCACGACCACGACGACGACGACGGAGCGCGGCCGGCCGGGCCACACACGAAAGGACGGGATTCGTTTGCGGCCTCGTGCCTAGATAGTTTCGCGTTCGCTCATTGTTGTACGGCGAGCAAGCACGCCCCCTTGAGAAGCCAGTCGACCGGTCGACCGAGAAAAGCCGCGGCGACGAGAGAGAGAGGAGGAAGGAGGATCGGATGTGCGAGGAGAAGGCGGCGGCGGCGGCGGTGGCGGTTGCGAAGGCGAAGAGGGAGAGGACCGGGAGGGGGCGAGAAGGGACGGGAAAGATCGTGAAGAGAAGGGTTACGACCGAAGCCGCGTCGTCTACAGCTCCTCCGTGATCGACCCTCGATCGCGCGATCCACGCGATACGCGGCGTATGTCACACTCGGTTCCGCGCGACGAGCAGCGACGAGCGCACGTGCGCACCGCACGTCATCGGCGATCTATCGAAAATTCCGAACAATAGTATGTAGAAGGGAAGAGCAGCACACCGACGAATCCGAGTTTCCCCCCTCCAACTGCCCGATCAATCGCTCGGTCGGTAAAAACGCCGCGCGATCCCGTCCAACACGGGAAGGGATCTCCGTATCTCTCCGGTCGATAAGCACGCCATTCGCGGAACGCTCGTATACTTGTCTCTCGCAGATCGCGGGTCTCCTTCTTTCCTCGAGTTTTTGGCGTTTTGCCGGTATTCGCAAATCATCGAAATCATCTTCGGCGGTCTTACCTGCAGTTCGATCCTACACCGAGAGCCGAGGATTGAACGGAACTGAATCCACGAGGACCGCGAGAATGCACGCGAGATTTGGTGGTACGGCGGGCAATGCGAGCCGCGTGCGCCACATTTCTCGAGTGTGCGCGCGCATACCTGCGTCGCTACGTAGATGGCGCCACGACATTCCGCTTGCCGCGCGAACGATTTACCCCGCGCGACCCGCGATGTATCCGGCGACTTTATATTTGTTTACACGCCGACACTCGGAAAGATTTGCCTGTCACTCTGCCCTGCAGGCTAAAGTATCTCGATATTGCTAGGTATTCGAGTTATATATTCGTATTATTTTATAAAAATTAAAGATTCTGAAGAGAGCAACGAAACTGTCGACCTTGATCTTCCTCACTACTTGGACAATAATAAATATATATTTGTCATTAACGTATGTACGTATCTCGAATGTATCAAGATGTTTATCATACGACGCAGTGTCGTAGCTCGTCTGAATTGTAGCGAAAATATTTCTGTTTATAATGTATGAAACCGCAATAAGTCAGCGAAGGTTTAAATTATTTAAAAAAAAAATTCAAAAATTGTCACGCTTTTCGCATGTTTATCAAAATATATTAAAAAGTTTATATAGTTATGATTTTTATGAATTTACATAATTATGAAATTAATATTCAAATATAATATTTAAATATGAAAATGTTAATTTTACCTGTTTATAACTTTATCAATTCTATTTCATCTTTTCCAAATATTTTAGGTTAACAAATTTATAGTCTTTATACTGAATCACTTGAATTATTGTTACAGAACTCGCTTAATAAACAGCAGCGAGAGGTAGACAAAGACAAATGGGCTATAAAGTATTGCAGATATGGAAGAAAACGAATTTATAAAACTATAAAATGTAATTTAACTCGACGGAAAATCACCGGGTTTTTGCGCCGGATGATACGCGAGTGAACTAATCACTGATAAATCGGAAGGACAAGCGGCCTGATTCTTCAGTGTCATTAGTGTCATCCAAACACACGCAGAGTTTAACAGACGTCTCCGCGTTATCTCGTGGAATTTAACATTTTATCCGATCAACCGATTTCATCCTCGGCAGCGGCCGGCTGCATCGGGCAATAAGAGAAACCGCACAAATCTATATTACACACAATTTTAAACGAGCAGCGTACGAGGAGCAAAGTTGGACGACGACAACGACGACGACTTCTTTTATCTTCACGTGACACAGTATATTTTCGTATTATTTTCATCCGTTTGTCTTTCCTCCGAGCGCGAGATTTCTCGTATATTCTCGCCTACGAAATTGTTGATTTCGACAGAACCACGAGATTCCCGTGAGGTAGACGGGTATCCGTAGTATGGATGATTTACACATCTGGCGACGATGCGCCGTACAGCCGAAGCCACCGAAGGAGATACTGCGACCGGTGTCTCCGCCCGTAAAGGTTTTAACGGGTCCCGGTCCGAGTAACTGCTCGGACGAGGTTCTTCGTTCTCTCGGGCAGCAAGTGCTCGGTCACCTTCATCCGGAGATATGCCAGGTATTTCCGGGATTCTACGCAAAAGTTTCGCGACCTTGAAACACTGTCGTGTGTTTCATCGTTAATATATCGCATCGGATTTCGAGTTGACGTGTAAACGTCATCGCGCGATCGTCCTCGCGGACGATAGACTGATAAACTGACAAGATTTCTCTCCTTCGCAGTTAATGGACGACATCAAAATGGGATCACAGTACGCGTTTCAAACCAGGAACAGGCTCACCCTGGCCCTAAGTACGTCCGGTCACGGCGGCATGGAGGCCTGCCTCGACAACTTACTCGAGCCGGGTGAGACCGTGCTGATCGCTAAATGCGGCTTGTGGGGCGAACGCGCGGCCGATATGGCCGGTCGTATTGGCGCAAATGTACGAAATAAATACACACATAAAGACAGAGTGAGAGAGAGAGAGAGAGAGAGAGAGAAGAGAAGGAGAGAGCAGTACATTTTTTACAATTCCTTTGATTTGGTGCATTTCAGATAAAATTCCTGGAGACGGCGTACGGCGTGCCGTTCGACCTGGTCGCCCTGAACGAGGCTCTCTCGAAACACCGACCGGCGGCCGTGTTTGTGACACACGGGGAATCGTCGACGGGCATGAAGCAACCGCTGGAGGGTGTCGGCAAGTTGGTTCACAAGTAAATGCGATTTGTTATACTCACTGCACGCGATGGTAATGATGGGAGCGTAAAATTATTTTTCCTCTATAAATTCCTCCCGTTAACGGCAGATACGAGGCCCTGTTGATCGTCGACACGGTGGCGTCCTTAGGCGGGGAACCCTTCTTCATGGACGCCTGGGAAGTGGACGCGGTTTACACCGGCAGCCAGAAGGTCCTCGGCGCGCCAGCAGGACTGTCGCCCGTCTCCTTTAGTCCGCGCGCGGAGTACGTATGTATGCAGCCCGGCTCTCGATCGGATCGACCGACCGACCGCGCTGGAGAACGGGTTTCTTTTTGCGGTAACGACGGCTGACCCGCGCCGTCGTGGGACACCCGCGGGATTGAGAATGCGTATAGAATATCAATTCGAATTCGTGAGTCACGCTTTCGTGTGGTCGCCTATTCAGTAATTCCTACTAATCGGTGAATCACATACGCATATTCGCCGCGAGGGGGATGAAATTCTTGACATTTCTCCTGTCCGATATCTATCCGGAAATAAATTCCAGTCTTATGCTGTATACTGAGATTTATATCGCGCCCTGGAATAATTGCAGGAGAAAGATATTCCGTGCGACGAATCGGCCGGCTTACTATTGGGATATGAGGATTCTCGGCGATTATTGGAATTGTTTCGGTGCACCGCGACGCGCGTACCATCACACAATAAGCGCCACGTTGGTGTACGGCCTGCGGACGGCTCTGATGCAGCTCGCGGAGGAAGGGCTTACCACCTCCTGGGCGAGACACGCGGCGATGGCCGTGAGATTTCGGCAGGACCTTCGAGCTCTCGGACTGGAAAGTTACATCGAGGATCCGCGACACCAATTGTCAACTGTTATCTCGATAAAAGTGCCACCCGGCATAGACGCCGATATGTTAGTCGCGCGAACTATGGAAAAGTGAGATATCATATCTGTCTATCGTCTTTTCGATTATCGCATTTTCGCCGAGCGGATCCTCTCGAATTATGATATTTTTTCCGTTTTTTTCAGGTACAAAATTGAGATCAGCGGTGGTCTGGGACCAACAGTTGGGAAAATTTGGCGTGTCGGTCTGATGGGGGTCAACGCGCGGACTTGTATCGTCAATCGTGTAATTGCCGCTTTCCACGATGGACTGCAACACGCGCTGAAAGCAAAGATGTAAGATCGCCAACGTGAATTTATCGATACAATTTGATACAATCGTCGATACAATTCGATCATATTAAAACCGAGCGTGATTTTTCAGGAAAAAATATCGTGTAATTTTGGGAATTGTATATATATAAAAACTTTCTTAATTTATACTTATTTAATAGCAATAGTAATAATATAATAATCGGCGTTTAATTAATAAATCGTTTTGGCACAGTACAGAATAGCATCGATCTCCATTCTCTACAAAACTAATCCAAGTGTGCGTCATGCGTCTCTCGATCCAGCAGCCTACCTTTGTCGCAAAAATACAAAAGGTTTATTCGATTAAAATTATATCGCGGTGTTTATATAAAAAACAAAAAAAAATATAGTAGATCCAGTCGCCGTCCGCGCGTGGTCGCATGGGGGTATACATCACGAGAAAAAGTGAATTGTTTACATCTCAAGGAGCATACATAACAGACGTTGTACTCGTTTTGTGAACGCGCTTGCACGCGCGCGGGAGCAAAATATACAAATTCATTTTTCTTGCGCGGCAATAATTTCCACGTTATACGTACGTACGTACATATCGCATCGCCGCGCCGTGACGTCACATCTTGAATTAACCGTTGCTCTGTATTTCAGCGCAACAATTGGCACAGTTTCGCGCAAAACGAATCCCGGGTGCGATCCGAGAAAACGTCCGCCTCTCTCCTCGCCCTCCACCCTTTTCCCCCTGAGAAGCGACGTGCAACGGGCAAACCCACCCACGCGACACGTAACGCCGCTTTTTGCACAGCTCCCGCTTTCTCGTCGGCTAAGTCCCGTTAGCTAAGTTTAATAAAAAATAAAGACCGAGCTTCTTTCTTATTACGTATTTCTGTCCTCTCCAGCGTATAGAAACGTAATCGCTACCAGAAACCGCGTCGACTGGCCGCGTTTTTTCAAATTAAAAACAGCGTGTATATATATATATATACACGAAGCCGCACACGTGTCGGTACAAGAGCATGCCGCGCTTACCCGATAATTAATGTTAACTCATTTAATATCAAGACTTGATAGCTTGCGCATAAGGTGAGGAAACCGAGGGAGGGATTACTTTAAATATTCGCAATAGCAAATCCGTAACATAGAGTATGGGGGATGAGGAGAACGGGGAGGGGGGGGGGGGGGGAGAGGAAAGAGTTTAGAGTAGCGCTAGAAATTAACGTCGTAACGTATAAATAATTAATAATAATTACCAGTGTATAATGCTGACGCGCGCGTCGCCAGAACAATATTCGTTTATAGCCGCCTCGACGCCTAGGTATACGCGCTTATTTACAAAAAAGAACCGTTCGTGTACGCGCGGCCACGGGCGACGGTCGACGTCAGCTGACTACGTATGTATACGTACCGTCGAGTATAAGGCACCTACGGTGTACAAAACTGTGTGAATCAACGCCTCCACGTGCGAGAGATGCGCAACGACGTATAAACGAAGTCGAATAACATTTCATCATGACATCGAAATAGCGAGCGGAGCCTGGCAATGTAGAAGCCGTCGCGCGACCGGTACAACAATTGAGCCTAAATCGAACGCGAACGGGCCTATCCCCGATAGATCGCTTAAAGATTGCCCCGGGTATCGTATCGGCATTCGCACCGGTCTCCTAGCTCGGGCTGACAGCCGCTAGATTTAGATTATATCGCTCCGAATACCATATTCGATAACCGCCGTTCGTAGCGGCGAGGAGCGACTTCGACCGAAGATCCGAATAATTTTCACAAGTCGCCGATATGAGAGCCGCCGATTTATCGCGCACACAAAAAAACGAAAAAGGGAACTAACGAACGCTACTAAAATCGAAAATACAATTGAAAACAATGTACGATACAACGGACGATACAATAGATCTCGTAAATCGCGCGGACGCGCCCGCCTCCTCAAGATCGGTGTGAACAACCGCTCGGATAACATTTTTGTTAACTGTACAAATAAAATTTTGCTAACACCAATAGGATCATTAATCAAGGATTTTATGACACATGGAAGAAAAAAGATCAGCGGCGACGAATTACACAGTTGGAAATTTTGCTGCGAGCAGTTCTGCCGCGCGGTCGAATCGATCAAATTGATCGGAGCCTGCGGTCGAAGTCGTCGGTCACTGTCGCGCTTCTTCGCGTCGGAAGTATCCCATTATTCGATTTCGCCTTGTCGCGCGTGCTTCTCAAAACTTATTACAAAATAGTGTTATACAACGGAATACGATTAAATAAGTATATGGCAAATCTTTCGTACCGGTCTCGTTGAAGCCCAAAGATTTGAAAAAGAGTTTGGGAGGATTATTAAAGAGAAATGGCTGTCGTTGGTAGGTAGCGAAAAAATTTCGAATCAATCAGAGAAACTGTTAAAAAAATTTTCTGAATCCCTAGATCCGCATTGATAGACGCATATTACATATATTTTTGTGTCTTAAATATCGCGCAGATTTAGTCAGAAAAAAACGAAGGAAAACGTGCAAATTGATTCTCTTTATCTCGGGATCCGGTACGATCTGATTTAAAATTAAAGGATTATTCCTAATAATAAATACAGCTTAAATATTACGTACTTACAGTAACGATCAGTGTTATCGCATTAACAAATATATTACCGCTTCTTCATCGTGGAGCACACGGCGCTTCTCGCCGAACGGTTTCATACAAGTATGCGACGTACAACATATTTTATATATATATATATATATATGTATATATATTATATATATGTATAAATATATCTTTACGTTAGAGCGATAATTTAGATTTTACCACACAACAATCGCGAGATAAGGAGCTAATAAAAGTGACGCAGATGCGCAGCGATAACCAATTGCACAACGGATAATTATATAAGCGGACAGCGGTAGTAATACTATAATATATTAATAATAGAAAACGACGGTAAAATAATAGTAATAAAACAGTAATAAGTTGGAAGTTATTAGTAAAAAGTATTATAGCAATCGCGCGTGTAATAAAAACTGATGCCGCCGCGTCGGAGGTTTTTCAGTCTTCTTTGGTTGCTGGGTAACTCGAGAAGAGATTAGTGGGTACAGCAGGGCGCTGTAATACCGCCGCGAACTAAAAAAAAAACTCGTCCCTTTCCGAGTTTTCACCACCCCTCCCGCCCTTTCCACCTCACCGCCCCTCCCGTAGTATTCGCCGTTCGTGGTTGTCGCTCTCGGCGAAGAAGAAGGGCGCGCTCGGTTTTACGTTCCCCTTTCCGCTCTTTCCTCTTTTTTTTCTTTTTAATCCGTTGATGGGGATCAATTGATTAATAAGCGTCTGGCTGCGGGCGCTGGAGGCTCCGGAGCGAACGACCGAGAGCGGTCCCATCGCGGACAAGAATAGCAATATCCGATCTCTTGCGGCTGTCCGTACCGCGCGCAGCGCGGTGCGGTGCGGCGCGGCGCGGCGCGTCCACGTCCTTCCTCTTATTACACACTAGGCTGCCTCTCGCGACTTCCTGCACTTCGCGCCTCACCGCTTTACCGCTGACCGTCGCCGTCGCCGCCGACGACGACGACGACGACGATGTACGGCGAACTTTGAGCGACGAGCGACGCACCATCCGTCATCGTTTGATTAATTACCCGCGTCATCTCGAGAATACCACTGCTGAAAATTGAAATGACAAAGTTCGCGGGCGCCGTTTTCTCGCTCGGCCGAAACGCGAATTTATATATACAATTGCAAATGTCGATCTCCCTCGTTCGTTTTTTTTTTGGCAATTTTTCTTATTCTCCTCCGCTCGCCTTCTTCCTCCCTCCGCCTTCCTGAATCCGGCCTCTATACATATTCATCCTCTCCGGATGAACACGCCTGTAGTCCAGCTCTCGCGATTTTTTACGTGCGCGCGTGTACAGAACCGTTCGGTTTGATTTTTCGTTTCCGTCCTCTCGAGGGCCCCTCGGGTCGTATATGTATAAGGCGTATATGTCGTGTATACGCGAAGAGACCGCGATCGCGCGACGGATAATGGCCGGTCGCGTCCGATCTTCGTCATCGCTCGACGATGACTTGGTACGGTGGCACGCGACGGAGCCTCCTCCTCGTGGACCGGGGCAGACTCGTCTCCGGGAAACTACCAGGCTCAGCTCAGCTCGCGCGGCGGCGTCGAGTGCCGCCGCGCCGGATGATGGCTGTTACGATGGTGACGCCGCGCGCGGTGCTCGCACTGGGCCGTGCAGCAGTCGTCGACGTCCGCCACGTGCTCGCCGCGCTTCATCTGATGCACGATCGAGTTACAGAGCGACCGTGGACAGCGCTTCCTGTCGCACCTGACCTCGCCGTTCTGAAAAGAAGCAGAGGGAGCGGTTCCCATTACATTCTCGCCATTTACCGCGCTCGTCGCGCGAATTCCACGAGGAATGCCGGGGCCGCGGAAACGGATCGTTCCGCAGAACGGATCGGCGATCCGCTTCGCATCGTTATACCTCTTTAATCCCTCCTCCTATGATGTAACGTATAGGATGATGGATATGCATCCGCTCTTTGTATGTATATTGTATCATTATAAACGCACATTTTCACATTAAAAATGACATTCGAACGAATATTAAGAAACATCGCGTGAAAACGATTCTTAATGGATAACATTTATCGGATATTTTATAATCTAATCTATAATATCTCTTTTTAATAAATGATAATGTCAAATAATTATAAAATATATAATAATAAATTTAAAGTCATTAATGACTTTCTTTTAACATATTTTACACTTTTTTTCGTATTCTCTTCTTCGATCGAAGGATGTACTTAGCAGAGACTTAGTTAAAAAGAAGAAGTGTATGTATGTAGCGAGACGAGATGTTTATCCATCAACGAAAAAGACCAAACGCGAGTAATAAAAGCGAAACGCGAGAAGAACCGGTGCAACGAGCTCTGTTGGAAATATAAAATCCGTTTCTCAACGATCGGGACGATTATTTTTCGCTCCGTCTCGTGACGTCGCGACGCGACGCGACGCAACGCGACGCGGCGCGACGCGACGCAAGCCAGTCGAGGCCGCGGCGTTCCATTTTCATCGTAATGGATGGACCCTATAATGGTCGGGCCAGGCGAACGAGTCCGGTTAAAGGTTTTCTCCTTAAAGATCTCTCTCGCCGTGGCCGTGTCTGGATACCGCGGCGAGGCGACCGTCTAACGAACGAATTGAGCGTGCAACGAACAAAAGTAAAGCGAGTTCTAGGACTTCTCTCTGCTTGGCAACAAGACGCGGCGACTCGCGAGACTCGTCTCGTCGCCGTCGGTTCGACCAGGATGATTAGGCACGCCTGATAAAGAAAGAGAGAGCAGAGAAACCGTAAGAATAGCGTTTTGCTCCTAAAGCTCCAGCCTCGTCGTTTTGGGAACGATTCGCGACCAAAGTTTGAGAATCGCGCGTTTACTCGCTTTTCGGTTTTTTTTTTCTCGATCAAATCTTACGACCAAAGTTCTGGCACGGTCGAAATATTTCTCACCTTGCAACGGCACTTGACGCACTTGACCTCGCCGTGCGAGTGCACCCGGGGATGCCACTCCATGCCGTTCTCGTAGGGTCCCGTGGGGTACTTGCAGCCACCGGAATCGAGTATCTGCTGCGCGGTGCGCCGCGTCGACGGCAAGGCCTGGTCCCTCATCGTCAGCAGGCGCGCGGGGTCGCTCGACGCGGTGGTGGTTTCGTTGCTACGGGGCGTCGTTGCCGGGCATTGCCTGCAGCAGGCCTTCTTGTCCGGCCTGAAGGCGACCTTCCCGTCGCAGTCGAGCGGCGGGCACTGCACCAGCGGGCATTTCACCTCCAGCGTGACAGCCTGCGAGACAAATGGATTTTCGATGTAAATCACGAAGGTGACCTCTCGCGTACCTAGCCGCGCTCCGCGCGCGTAACGCACGCGTTTCACGCGTTTCCTCGCTCACTCCGCCACGATGTCATTGTATTTCACAATTTATTACCGAGGTCTTTGTGACAATCTTTAGGAATTTCCCGAAGCCTTTAAAGGCCGTATCAAAGCCCGTTGAACAAAGTTCGTAGACTAAGTAATTTGTAAGAGATATCCCAGTAAACGAGAAAGGATTAAAAGTTTTTAATACGTGAATTGAAATGGATTGGCCACTCTCTGTCAAATGAATTTCTATTTCATAATACGAATATAATATTTTTAATATAATATTAATATAATATTATTATATTATATTAATTGTGACTAGGAAACGTTTCAATATCTAATTCCAAAAAATATTTTTTTTGGATTTAGATGAATAACATTCATGGTCCATTTTTCGAAAAACTTTTTGAATTTAATTAGATTGAAAAAAACAGCATTTCCTATCTAGAATTTTGAATAAATCAGTATTCACGATTTACATTTTAAAACAGATTTCTTTTTTATTGAATGGCATAGAAAATGTGATTCATGCAATTCCTCTAAACGAATACAAAGGCATTGGGTATTGAAATGGATTCTGATTTTCAAAAGAATGTTTGCGTTTGCGTTGAAATGAATTTTTTTTAAATCTATTTTAATTCATTCTCGTTTACTGGGATATACGCGCGTCTTTGTCGTTCTCCAAATATGTAACGCGAGATATTTTCACGAGTGACTTCTGCATGGTGTCAATTGGCTAGGAAGCGCGATTGCCGAGTATTAAATAAACTGCAATCGTTTAGAAAATCTCGTCGCTGAATCATTCAATTAAGCTCATTAACTAAGGCCAGGCCGCAGCCGCATTCTTCGAACGTGGTGTGGCACAGGTTTTTCCACGCGCTGCAGAATCGCGCTATGGTACTTAATCATCGTGAAATACCGGTGAAATTACTTTGACGCGATTTAAGCCGAAGCGTAATTAGAACGTATTAAGGAAATATGCGACGGACGGAAAGACAACTTGCCCTTTACACCTCTTGCGCTTCGAAGAAATTAATCGCGGCAAAGAAGAACGTACGTTTCGAGATCTCACAAATACCTATTTGTGTCGCAATCTATCCAACTGTCCAGCCGATTCTAATAAAATGAGACGAAGAGTGGAAACTTACGTCGCAGGTACAAACTGCACAAGTGTCGAAGCCCGCTGGTGGTAGATACGGATGCCAGGATGATCCCGCGAGATGATATTGCCCGGCCAACGTGCAACCTCTCGTGGCGTTCTTGGTCGTGGCGTTAGTCTCGGCGGTCATTGGGTCTGAATATTAAGTGATATTTAATAAGACATTAAATGTCGACTACGTCGCATTTAGGTGTAACTTTATCAAATGACTTTTTAATGCAATTTATCATTCGAGCGTTACTTAGACATTACTTAACTTGTTGCCATAAATTTTGCTACCCATAAGTTTATACATTTTATATACCCGTAATGTCCTCTTACGTGTTACGTGGATATTCCCGTTTCGTATAAACGAAAAATGATTTCCAGTTTCAACAAATAAATAAATCCCTTTACCTGCGCATATCGGGCAGCAATGACCGGTCGGCGGTTGCCTGAGCTGCTTTCCCGATCCGCAGGAGATTGTCGGACAGGGCACCGTGTCGCATTGCGCAAAGCCGCGATAGCAATGGCACATCTTGCAGGGATTCGAGCTCGAGGTCCACTGCGTGCCCTCCTCGTAGAATCTGGCCTCGTGGAAGCACGCGCCGGTCTCGATGTCCGACCTGGGCGGCTGCAGATTGTACGCCACCACCGAGGCAACGTCGTTGTCGGCGTAATGCGGCAGGCAGCTGATCGGCGCCCTCGCCTTGAAGGGTGCCTTCAGGATGTTGGTGGATTGCTTGTCCGTCACCTCGAAGAAAGCGACACCCGACTCGATCCTGTAGAGCTCCAACGTCGACAGTCCGGTGACCGAGCCCTCCAGGGAGTATCCCGTGAATTCCTCGAGGAGCCTTCTGGCGACGGGCGCTCCCTGCGCCACCATTGGCATCGTCTCCAGGTACAAACGGAACGTTCGCGATTCTTGAGAGGAGGACGAGGAGAAACCGGCAAGTTCCAGCTCGTAGTGCAAGGAACAATCCAGATCCACCGCGGTCCATATCAAGCCGACCGGTCCGGACTGCATTGTTGGATCCCAGACCAATCTGCGCAGCAGCACGGGCGCGGCCGTGTCTCTGGCGTCCGCCACGGGTCTCTCCAAGAGTCTGCCGCGCAACATGGAGCCGAGGTGGCTGGCGGCGACTACGGAGAGCTCCTCGTTGAAGAGCGGCTGCAGCAGCCGTGGTCCGGGTCGGTCCAAGGAGCCGTTCGCGAATTGGCCGCCGACCAACGAGGGTGTCAGATCCTCGAGTTCCATCCTCCGCTTTCCGCCCTCGTCCACCAGTGTCACCAGCGGGCTCTCCTCCTCGAGTCCCAGCAATTGCACTCCGTAGCGTAACGCGCCGACACGGTCCAGAAAGGCCCAAGCCAATCCTGTCGCCGCGGACGGCGACTCCGACAGCAGCAACGTCTGATATATGTCGCAGGTCGCGCGCGGGCCGACCGTGCCGATCAGTCGGACAGCCTGCGGATCTTTGCGGGACATTATACTGATCGACAACTTGCCCCGAGTCAGAAGACGCAGATCGGTCCCGGAGATCGCGCTGCGAACCTCGCCGTAATTCAGCTCGTTCGATGGCTTCTTCACAACTATCTCCTCGCGCAGGACCACGTAATCCTTCTCGTGGTGTTCCACCTGAACGATCAACGGAACATCGGCCACGTCGTTCGGCAGGAAGAGCCCGTTGAAGATGAGGGACACGTGAATTGACGGCGCCGAGGCGGATGAGGCGGACACGATCGCCGTCGCGCCCGCGCCGGACATCAACGACCGGTCGACGCCCATCGCCGGCTCCAGGAGCGACGAGAACTGCTCGGTCGAGAGCGCGCGGTAGCGCGACAGCTGGCCGGTCAGGCTCGCCGAGGGCTCCCAGAGGAAGGACACGTGCAGCCGTTCCTCGCGCAGCAGCTTGCGATAGTCGCGCGGCACGCGTCTCCACACGCCGCAGAGCTTGCCGGTCGTGTTCTGATAAGCGCCACCGACCGGATCGATCACCTGCTCCTCGAGGATACTGCTGGACCCGTCGAGGAACTGTATGCTGCGCGGCCGAGGCGTCGACGCGGACAGATAGAACGAGTAATAGATGTTCTTGCGGTGGAACGTGAAGCGACCGGTCGCCAGATAGTTGTACGCGCTGTTGTAAATCGTTGTCGGACTCGGCTCGTCGCGACGCAGGGACTGCGACGTTTTGCCCGTTAACAAAGTACCGAAATCTGCAATCATTTAAGAAGAAGACGCCACATTTCGCAAACGTATACGGTCAGATCGATAACTATAACGATTATTTCATTGGAAATCGCCGGCACCGTTTTTTTTTTTTTTCCGAACAAACAGAAACGATTTCGAGATCAAATGTATGTCATGGATTTTAAGAAATATAAAAAAAAAATCTTACGTTTCAGACTGCGCTCCTCTTCCTCCGAGGTCAATTGCGCCGGCAGATCCTGCGCTATGTCTGCGTCTGCAACAAAAGATTTATTCCGTCGTAAACGCGGGTATTTGACCGCTCGATCGTACAGCCTTTCCGGTCGTTCAACGCGCGGTAAACTTATGCTCACGAAAAAGATCAATTATGTGAACTCCTTAATGGATACTGTACGTAAAAGTTCTCTCGGCCAATTTTCGCAAGCTGCGTTTTTTTTTGTTTCCTCTTGGAAACCTGGATGGATTTTATGTTAAGAATAATAATTCGCGGAATATATTAGAATGATAACGAAAGGGATATTCTTGAGAGGGCGCGTAAATTATGCTACACGTCGGAATTAACGCCACGTAACTCACGCGCGACGTAAAGCCAAATGTATATTCTATATAGGGACTCTCGGGGAGGATAAAACTACACGCGCAGGAGAGTGGCGAGAGTCCTTTGCACTTTGCATCGGACGCGTATACCGGCGCGGCGCGGCGATCTCCTCTCTCGCTCTCATTCCCCTATCCCTCGCTCCCCGAGCGAGTCTCTCTCTCTCTCTCTCTCTCTCTCTCTCTCTCTCTCTCTCTCTCTCTCTCTCTCTCCTTCGAGACGGGCGTATAAAAATAAAAATAACCGGTCGATCGTCGATCGTCGATCCCCATTGAGCCGATTCAGCGGGGCCGGTGGTGGCATGTGCACCGACCATAAAGTATGCCCGCGCGCGGTAGGAAAAGAGTCGGCTGGCGCCAACCGCCGCTACTTTGAATGCTACTTTTATGGCGCATGCCGCGCCGGTTCAGCGCCACGGAGACGTTAATTGCCGCGCGCAAAACGTACAACACGCCTCGCCCCGGCGCGACCGACCAGTTACTAACTAAACCGTTTCCGCCTACCTAATCGGATCTGTGACGACCGATGGCACCGGTCTGTCGCGCCATTAATATCGGAGAAAGACGGACATGAGCGATAATACGGTTAATTACGAATATTAATTGGATCCACCTACCGCGTTTTTTTGCATCCTCCTTTCCGCTTTGTGCGCGTTTTACGCGGATGGACCGGCTTGTCCCCTCCTCTCCCTCCCCCCCTTCCCACCCACCCGGAGCGACTTCTCGCCCGTCTCCTCGGGCACGGCGGCCGAAGCTCCGGTCTGGCGCCAAATCGCGACCTTTGCGACAATGTCGTGGTGACGTAGATTCGCGAGTTTGTCCATACGACATTCGCGTTTCGCAATCGTGACTAGAAAGGATAACGCGTCATCTAACAAATATGTCGGCGGCTTATAGTCAACCGCGGCGGTTGTACTACCGAAAGTCGCCACCTTCTTAGGCACGACACCGTTTCGGATCGAAGGACGACCGTTACTCAGGATTAAGAATCGTCGGAGGAGAGAGATATAAATGTCGCAGACTTCGGTGGCCGCGGATAGGTCTAGCTCGATCGTAAAGCTATACTCTTGCTATATCTACTAGATTTCTCTCTCTCTCTCTCTTTCTCTCTCTCGCTTTCTCTCGTTTTTTACCCTCCCGGATAATCCGACACGCTCGACAGTTTCGTTTTACCCTTCTTCTCCCGACCGAGGCCTAACGATATCTAATTTGCCTCTCGCATTGTCGAGACCAGCCGAGACCGACTTTCGTTGGCTGGAGCCGGCCGTTGACGGCCGGAGACGAGAGGATCGGCGAGAACCGAATGAGAATCGATGCGACGATCCAATCGACGGGCTCAAGGGTCGCAGTTATGTTTCCTCGTGGAGCGTAAAAGGCAGGCGTTGCTAATTGCGGCCAGTTTCACCTTTCATCAGCAGGGGGCAACGAGCCCCTATCAAACGAACGGCGACAGGCTGCTACGACAACGACGACGATGGCGATGATTATTATGACGACCGTATAGGCGAGTCGCGCAGAAAATAAACTTGATGCGCGCGTGATATTGATGCGCGAACGTTCTATGATGAGAATAAATGGCCTGCGCGCGCGGGAGTGGTGCAAGAGCGGTGCGATTATCAAAAATGATTCGCTCCGTCCTCGTCGTCCCCGTCGCCGCCGTCGCCGCCGCTGCCGCCGCCGCCGCCGTCGCCGTCGTTGCTACTCCCCTCGTGACACGGACGGCGGAATTGTGGCGACAACGAGCGCTTTATCAAAAGTGTCATATTAACCTAATTGATAATATGCGCGCCTCTCCCGTTGCATCGCCAATAGCCGCGCGATAAGCGACTGTAAAAATTTAACGAAACGACGACGACCCCGCCGTCTCTGTTTACGGGCGCTCGGGATAGCCGCGACGGGAAAGAGAGACGATCGAACGAACTCGTAACAAACGGCGCAAGATAAATTAAAATGAGATGGAATAAAATAAAAAAGGGTTCGCGCTCTGCATCTTTTCCATCTTCCCCCCCTCGCCCTCCTGCCCCTGCCCGCACGCAGATCGCCGCTTCTGCACCGAGCGGAAGATCCCTCGCTTCCACTACCGCGAGATCTCTCTTCCATCCTCCATCTCTATCCTTCCTCTGCCCGTCCCGTCCGCCCATCTATTCTTATTCCCATCGCGCGCGTTATGCCCGATCATTACGTATGCTAATATTTACATTTAGATTGCACGGCTTAATCGAAGTGACGCCATGCGGTAATATAGCCGGCGCCATGGCGCTAAACCGTGGCGTCCGCCCGCGTCCGCGTCTCGCTCCGCTCCTCTTCCACCGATTACGAACTCGAGTTCCCTCTCGAGAGAACGCGATCGGCCAATCTTCCCCACGCTAATCCCTCTCAAGTTCTTTTTTCCTTCCTCTAGCCTTCACATCCGTCCCTTCTTTCTCCCCTCTCCTCTTCGCCGCTGAGGCAAAAACGCCGTTCCGCTCCGGCTTTCCCCTTTTCTCACTCGTATTTCTGGGGTAGAACGAGGGTACCTTGTCCCCGCGGTTGTCGATATCACCGAAAGTACAGCGAGTGAACCGGCGAACGCGCGGTGTGGCGATTGACGGAGCGGGACGGCGCGGCGCGGCGATTAGAAGGGCTATTCTAAATATTCTAATGCACGCGAGGAGATTTTAACGGGTCAATTTGCGATTTCCTCTCGAGTAAACAATCTACGCGCGCGATAAATGCGAGGCGCGCAAAAGCGTAAAGGCGATAGTATCGCTATTCGGAGCGGAGCCGCGACGGAGCTCGTTCGTGCCAATTCGCGCTCATTACCGTCGCGCTGGAGCCCCGGCGCACGCGAGCCTTATCTGGTAGTCTTATCAGCGCGCGAGATACATATATACTACTTTCACTGCATCGGCGGCACGGGCCAAATTCTTCGAGAGGCGCACACACCGCTCCTCCGCGCGGGCGCGCGCGCGCGCGGGCGGGTGGGCAACGCGCGTTCTATTTCTCCTCTCTCGGGGAGGCCGATCCGCGCGCTATCGCGCCTATATAGCCGCAGTAGAATGCGGATGGAGTAAATCGCATAACCGAGATACTCTCGTAAGCCACACGGAGCGACTCTTTTCTCGATAATATATCGAGAGGGGAAATAATATAGATATATATATATAGTAGATTGCGCGTGAAAAAAAATCTTATCTCGCCGGCTTATCTTCGCCGTTTCCGCGCTCTTGACGACCGGAAAAGAAAAAAAGAGATTAATCGCGGAATAATCGCGACGATCGAGCCACGAGGTGAAAAATAATAACGGATACGGTATTGCGTAACTTACTGAAGTCACCGGGACAGGATTTGCAGCATCGGCCCGGGAGTAGAACTGGTTCGTCGCACGTGAGTTTCGGGCATTCGTTCTTGATGTTGCGGCATTGAACTCTCGCGATGATCCGTCGCTTCTTTTGCACCTGAAAAAAGCAGAGGAGACAACTGTTATATAATAAAAATAGAAGAACTATACGTTTATTATGATTGCTTTAGAGATATAGAGATATTTATCGAGAGAAAAAGATTTCTTCCTTTCGCGGACGCACGAGGTTTTTCGGGCTTCTCCCCTCGCTCAAATCTCCCGCCATCTTACTTCATTTCTATATGTGCTTTGCGCTACTTTTGACAAAAAATTACGTTCTGAGCATAATAATGGAAGGGGAAACGAATGGTCCGTATTAACGCGGCAATGCGATACAGTTGCTAAAAGTGCGGCCGCGCACTTGCGAGTCGCGGCGTGGTTCCAGTTACGGAGAAGAATTAAGTCGGTGGTTTTATAGAGCGCGGCGCGCGCGGCATTCCTGAAGCGTGAAACGACGCGTGATACGAGCGTCGATTGAAAGACTCGACCGACGACGGAAGGAAAGGAGCGAGCGCGCGCGGGATTAGCTCGCGATCGCGACTTGGAATTATCTCCCGGGAGCCGTGTTTTCAGCCGAAAAAGCAGCCACTGCAGCAAATTCGAGACGTTTCGTCGCGACACGCGATAAAACCCTCTCCTGTTATCGAGCAGGACGATTTATTAGACTCTCAAAGTCTCGATCGTTTAACAGGCTACTCTCAAGCGAGAGAGAGAGAGAGACCGCGCGTCGTATGTCGACCCGTGTGCTTGTCGTGTCCCGGGCAAGCAACCCGGGCGGGGATAAGCATCCGACGTCCAACGTCCGACAAGGCGCGACATCGGCCTCCCCGAGACGGGGCTTTAGGTGAGGAGACATGGCTTCTTCACTCTCACGGCGACATGTGATTCACGCGACGCGTCTGCTTCTTCCACCAACCAAGACCGCGACCTATCAATAGCTCCTCATGTACACTGAAGAGGGACTGTCATTCCTCCGAAGTCTAAAAATAGAGGCCGCGCTCTCGCGCTCTCCCTCGTCCACGAGCCGAACATAACAGCGCGCCGCCGCGCCGCGGCGTCTCTCCCGCCTCTCTTCCGTCTCCGTTCCATCCATCTTTTCGGTCGATCGTAATATATCTTCGAAGAAAGAAGGATTTTAACCCGCGCGCCGCTATCGAGAGCGCCGCTCGCTCGCTCCGGCGAAATTTAACTTGAGGCTCGAACGGGAACGGCTTTACGTGTTCCCCGAATTGCTCGTTCGGTCGAAGAGAAAAAAAATATTATCTCCTTGCTCGTAATCATTCCTGTTATTGCCACATTACGAGAAAGATTAGAACTCCGCGGCCTCTAATGATCCGACCGTATACCGGCGACTTTAATGGCGTCGTACGTAACGATCGGTGCACCTCTCCTTGTGCGTACGATCGTATAATTAATTTTCTCTTCTCGGTAAATCTCATCAGATAGCGTCTCATTAGCATTTACACCGATTACTTATCGCGCGCTTTATCGTCGTTTAGTGCACGCATAAATTCCGCAACATTTCCACATTAAGATTTAACGATTCCGGCGCGCACGAAATTCTCATAACGACCGGACGCAGCGGCGGGGCTCGAGACGGCGATTAATAAAACGTTCATTCTCAACAGTTGTGATCCGAGTACTTTCGATTCAATTTAAGCCCGGGAATGCGCTCATATGCGGACATTATTTAAAAAAATGACAGATATAGGAAAAAGATATTCGGGAGTATAAGATACCCCGTACGAAAGAGAGAGAGAATATATTATTACGCGGCGCTCACGCGGGCATTCAACGGCGATAAGGCGCGCGATAAAAGAAAAAAATCGGCGAATGCTAATGAAGCGCTGCGTGAGGGAAGAAAGTTAATTGCACGGTCGCCGGAAAAGAAGCGCTACGCGCGACCGTTAAATGCGCGTTAAAACAAATGTTTTCCCCGTGTTTACAAGCGACGTGTAACGTCCGCCCGACGCGAATGTTAATACGATTACATCACCGGAATGATCAATCCGCGCATTATCGTTTACTGCATGCAAAATGCGAAAATGAAGAATTTGGTGTTGCGCATCGATGAGCTAACTCGGTTGCGTTGTCACAGCGGGGTGAAGGGAAACAGGGAGACGAGGGGAGGAAGGCGTATATATACAGTCGGAATATAAATGACGATTATTGCGCGATCTCGAGTAAATGTGCGTAACCGCGCGTATTTCGTGACGCACGCTCGCGCGAGCCGCGACTGCCGTCGAAACCTTTTGCGCCCCGCTCGCCGAGCGTCAGCAACGCGCGCGCACGCGTTTCGGATCTCCGGCGTCTCTCAACATTTGATACCGGCGCGTCACCTTCGTGTCAATATGTCGATTTTGGCGGGCATTTATTGGCCCAAGACGCTAAATTATACGCCGTGCGCAACGAACGAACGAACGCGCGGAGGAGGGGCGAGGGATACCGTAATTGCAAGAATGTACGCGAGCCGCTTGCGCGCGCCGCGTCGAGATTTATCCCCGAGATAGAGATTTATCCTCTCTCTCTCTCTCCGCGTTTTACAAGTCTTTAACGTGCCGCATACTTGACTCGGTAAACATCGATGTGACCTGACTTTTAAAGGAGAGAAGGGGGAGGAAAAAAATAACAGGTCGCAGAATAAGTGTGCAAAAGTCGTAATAAGTACCTGGGACGTGATTATAGCGTGTTTCTTGACAATAAATTCGAAGGCGAAGGATATAGAGAGGGTATATACGAATCGCACGCGTCGCTCTTTATTCATGTATGTTAATAAATGCTGGCGTGGTACTGATTGTTTACTAAACACTACGTGCGCGCCGCGAACGCTATACGCGCGCGACATGTGACACATTTTAATACAGGGCTGTATATACAGCGAGTTATGCGCTCCCTTTTCTCTTTACAAGTACAAGAATAAAAAGACCACTGTAAAACACCACATACCGGTATGCACTCGCATTTGATGCAGTACATGACTCCGAAGGGCGGTCCCAGGTCCGCGAACCATGTCGAGCCCAGCTCGCGAATCTGCTTGCCGAAGGTGCATTCTGAAAAGAAGGAGGGAAACATCGTCATTACCACATATCGTTGTCGTTCAGCTCCTAACCGCGCGTTATCGTCTAATAACACCAGCGACGTAAATCGGCATGAGAGTAAACATCGGCTTATCCGATTTACGATTTCATCATCTTATCGATTACTGGCGCGCTGCGCTGCGCGTACGCGCCACGATATTTTCCCGGAAATTGCCAAGACGTTATCGGGAAAAAGAGGATGGATGCTTGCCTTCCATTCAGTGACACAAGCCGACACAAGTATCGTTTTGCCGTTGTTATACTTATTAAATATGCTAAGAAGGATAGAATGACGTTTGCGTCGAGTTGTGTCACTGATTGTGAAAGCACCCGATGATATACGTATATTTTAGGCGCGAAACACACCGCACACGGTGTGCGTGCGTCGCCCCGACACGCTGACGCACTTCCGTTGCCATCATCGACGAATTTGATGCGCAATTTGATGCGAGAGTGTAACGTAACGCGCTCGGTATGTACGTTGATCCGCGCACGCATATTCATTCGCGTTCGCCGATAATATGCGCCGCGCGTTTCATTCAAGCCGCTCGCACATTCGCGAACCACGTATGTACGAGTATCCTACACCGCGCGTCGCGCGGGAGAGACGCGACGTCACCGGGACGCGACGGGCGACGCATCATTCATCCTTGATGTAAAACTGCGGCCGCTTGTTTGCAAATTACGGACGCATCCGTGTGTGCAACACCATGCAGCTGGTGTCACGACGGTGCCGATGACAAAGCGGACGAGCGCTCTTGCCGAGAGTGCTTCGCCGCTCCGAAATCGATTGTCGATTGAGTTGATTTTTACTAACGCGAGGCGTAAATCCCGAGGGGAGGGAGAGAGAGAGAGAGAAACAGGAGATAAAGATGAGACGTTATCTCTCCTACAACAAGCTCGTACGATAATCAGTAGCAAAACACGTAATAATACGCTCCATTAAATCGATAACAATATCGATCGTCTTTTTCTCCGTCGACATTTCCTTGGACGCGTCTCCATTCGCTTAAAGCGAAAAGGATAGATTGAAAGAGATTTTAAGCTATATTAGCAATCTAATTATCTCCCACCCCAGCCGTCCTTCCTTTTCCGCGTAAAAATAAGCGCGGGCGTGGAAGCGCCCGAAAATAACGCGATGGGAATCGCGTGCGTCTGCATTACGCGCGCGTGCATCTCGCGGCGTCCTTATTTCTGCGAACCGACTGCAAATGCGAGTCGCTTTTTTTTCTCAATTCACAGTTCTGCATCAGAGATTTGACGGGATCGTATCTAGATTATTATAAAGTTTCATACACGTATCTCATTCTTACGGTTGGAAAAATGAACTAATGAAAAAAAAATCGACACTTATTTCTTATATGATTCTTTTAAAATGATGAAAACATTTTTGTCTTTTTTTATTGATTCAATATCAAATAAAAAGATAAACATTTACTATATAGATAGACGTGTGTGTGTGAACAAGGATAGATAGATAAAGTTTATTGATATTCTATAAGGCAACTCCTCTAAGGAATATAAATTATAGTAAATGGTAATTAACAAACATAAGAAACACGATAATAAAACAGCGCGAGAATTTAAAAATCAAAGAAAGTGATTAATGAATAAGAATAAAAAATACGCAGAAAAAGAAAAAAAAAACGTTCACGGAAAGCTTGATTTTGCTGAAGAATTCTAGCTGGATAGAGATCTGAAAATAATTCGTTGGACCGTCAAAATAATTATATTGGAAACTCCAATTGATTAGCAATGTCAAACATTTTGATATACTTTAGCAACCAGTTTCAATTTCCAACATAATTATTTTGCTGATCCAACAATAGATATTATTTTCAGACCTGTATCCAGTTAAATTTTAGGATTTCAGCAAAATCGTTTTTCCTGTGTGACAATAATGTAACGCAAAGAAGAGTTTATGTATAAGAAGGTAGACGATGTTGTGAAAAAAATACAATAGTGACATTTTCACGATCGTATCGCTCTAAGCTACTTAAAAACTGTTCATCGTAAAGAGAGAGAGGGAGAGGGAGAGAGAGAGAGAGAGAGAGAGAACTCGGTCATGTGCGAGTTAGAGAAAGGGAAATGGAGAGAGGCCCGTTTTGCACGAGGTCATTGCACTGCGCGCGCTAAGTCGTTCTAAGCGCAAAGTCGCGGCCCTAAGTAACTAGGAGTCCGAGAGAGCCACGACACACAAGCTACCGCATCGAAAATATGCGAGTCACGCGGCATATAGCGCGGTAAGGTGAAGCGTATTAGGTCTCTCTCCTCTTTCTCTCTTTCTCGTCCCAATAGTGATGTGACTCTCCTTCGGTCTTTCCTCCGTGATTCTCGCCACCCGCGGGGTGGCTTTCTCGCGACGCGACGCGACGCACCAGCTCCTCCGCGTCCTGCACGCGCGTTGACATAAATCGAGTTTCGCCCCGACAAGCGCGCGGTCACTTTCGGCGATCGTTACTATCGCGACTTTGTACGTACGAATAATCGCGACTTGACGCCCGCAAAGCTCGGGTTGAGAATTAATATAACGACGCTCCCCGACGTATACTTGCAACTCATCCGTGCGTACGCGGCTGTTGGCCAGCGGGCGAGATAAATCTCTCCTCTTTGTCCATGTCTGTACTATGTCCACACGTGCAGTACTACGTCCACGCACAAATAGTCCCATCCGCGCGTATCGGGCGTCCACACCCATACACACCGCTACGTTCGCATGTGTCGGACGTTCACACGAATTGCCCTCACGTGGAGGGACGTCCGCTCATGGATGGACACGCTCACATGTGGAGAGGACGTCCACACGTGGTGGACGTTCGCATGTGGAAGATATCCGCACGCTGTATCGTGTACATATATACGTACATGCGTTATACCGAAGAAAGCGTGAATTCTAATCGCGGACGAAGCCTAATAAAGCACAAATATCGTTTAAGACGAAAGCGTCTGTCGCGCATATTTGAAAATACAGTTGCTCGCATTTGTATAATCCGCAATTGTCCTCAAGCGATTAATCACCGACAATGACAACGACCACAATTCGTCCACGATTCATCGACGACATATTAACCGACGAGCCGATCCCTCACGACTCCTCTGAATTTCGCGGACGCCGCGGCGCGCGCAGAAAATCGCGCCCGACTTCGCGCCCGAGCCGAAGAGGAGCCTTCGAAGAGAAAATAAAAATGTAATCTCCGCTTCGTGGCTTATACGCGCGCGATGCCATGAGTACGTCTTCGCTCGCTAATATAAATAATGCGAGCGTGGAAAAGGGAGCGCGGCGCGTGCAACGGAATGCCCATGGACTCCGTAATCCGCTAAGCAGGCGGTTAAGCAAATGGCAAACACGTGCTACACCTTTCGTTTTTCTCTTTTCCACCCTCAACCCCTCCCTGGCGTGCACTCTTCAAGTATCCTCCTCGGATAGATTTACGAACGTGACGTCGATTCTCCCCCGTATACCCTCGCGTCTCGGCCGCCTCTTCCCTCTCGCTCTGCCTTTCTGCACACGTCTACCCGGCTTCGTCTCGAGTTTCACATCACCTTTAGCATCTCGCGCGCGCGATCCGCATCCGCTCGCTCCGCGTCACGTCGTGACATCGTGAAGCGAAGCGTGCATAAGACGGTTATCCCATATCGCGTCGTGATCGGGGATGGGGAAACGCGAAAGCGCGGTGTGCTCGATTGCACGATTCAGCCGATCGGAAACGACGTGTTACCGCGCGTCGTTAATACGTCGCGACGACGTTCATCGATTCCTCTGCCAGCAGCGGGATCTAGATGATCCTCATTAATGGCACTTGGCAGCACATCGCGGTAATACAACCAGCGATAAATTTAATTTCGCGCGTATACGGAAGGAAAGGGGGGACAGGGACGCGGGGAGGGGGGGGGGAACTTTCGTCGTGTGTAATCGGCGCGAGAGAGCGCGACACTTCTGCACATGCATATAGCGCTCTATAATTACGCCGGATTCCCGGAGGTATCGGAGCGCGTATCGTCACGTCACGTGCATCATTCGCGTCACGACATGTCATCATCTTTTACGTAACACGCCGGTCGCGGCGGCGTGTGACCGTGAGGCCTGTCTAGACGGCGACGAGCCCTTGCAGCTTCCGTAAATTAAGGTATATACCTGTTCCGTGCCGACGCTCGACGCTCATTTTTAGCGTCAAAATAGATCACATCATGATCAAAATTGACGAATACCGCAAGCATCAATTTTGATCATGTGATCTATTTTGACGCTAAAGATGAGCGTCAGCATGAAATCGCACCTTAAGATACCGCCCGCGCCGCCGCCGCCGCCACCGACGACGATGACGGCTCCGGACGAGCGCCACTTTCTCGTGCGACCACCGCCTTCGCGTCGCCTCCGCGCCGTCGCCGCCGTCGCCTCGCCTCGCCGCGCTGCCGCCGACTTTACGGAGACGTTTTAGCGTCTCCGCTAAAAGCGGACGAGCAACGGACACGTAGGCGACCACGCGCGCGATGGCCCGTCCCGATTGTTTATGTATGCGTGAACCGCCGCCGCGCGCCCGATACCTGTCGGCGCGCAGATTTACGTGGGCGACGCGAGCACGCGGACACATCACTCACAGCCGCGTACATTTTATTTTCTCCCCCTTTCCCCCCCCCGCCCTCTGTCTCCTCACTTCGACCCATTTTTTGCGTTATTGAATTTCATTTCACTGCGTCGCGCGTCTCGTTCGACCGGCGAGTTTGGAAAGAGGTCGAGTGACGAGGGGCAGGAGGGTCGGCTATTTGGTTCCAAGTATTGGTTCTAAATAAACAATATCTTCACGTGTATCAATTGCGATTTTGGAGCGGTCTATTATTCAATGTACACTGTAAAATCTATACTGTCAAATTTGATCCTATTTAAATCGCCACTGATCCTACTTGATAAATAAGTTATTTTTAAATAAAACAATGGAATTTAACCCAAATTTGGGTTTAAACTGAACCATTTT